CTGTGCCGTTTCTCAGAGACGTGTCCAGAATGGGAACACAGAAGGCAGGAGAGCTGAGAGAGTGTGTTTGGCGTCCTGGCTCCCCAGGGCTGCCTTCACACAGACCCACGTAGCAAGTTACTTCAAGCAGCAGAAATGTTTCCTCTCCTTGTTCTGGGAGCCAGGGCTGCAATCAAGCATTGGCAGGGCTGTTCTTTCTGGAGGCTTGCGTGGGGAATTGTTCTCCTCTTTCTCCTCGTTTCTGGAGACTGCCAGCGGTTCTTGGCGAACCTGCGCTTTGCAGACTCGCCACTTCAGTCTCTACCTGTGTCTTAGCGAGTTTATTCTGATCTGTGTCCCAGTTCTCTCCTCTCCTGAGGACCCCTAGCCTTGCACTCGGGGTACCCCCTAAATCCGAGGTGATCTCACCTGGAGATGAGTGATGTTGGCAAAGACTCTGATTTCCCAGTAAGGTTTGGGTGTTCTCCATACAGTAATAGCAGATGTGAGAACTTGGAAGTTGAGCTGAGCTTGGAGAGACAGCGCAACGGCTAGGTGCAGGCTTTTTTTTTTTTTTTTTTTTTTTTGCATGAGGGAGGTCCCGGTCTGATCCCTGGCACCTCGTGGTCCCCGAGCATTGCTAGCTCTGAGCTAGAAATAGCCCCCAAGTACCTGTGAGTGTGGCCTAACATCTGGCAGTACTCAGGGTTTAGTCCTGGCTCTGTGCTCAGGGCTCATCCCTGGAGGACTTGGGGGACCATATGGCGTGCTGGGATCAAACCCAGGTCAGCTACGGGCAAGGCAAACGCCCTCCATGCTGTTCTAGTGTTCTGTTCTCCTCGTTTTTGTTTTGTTTTGTTTTGTTTTGCTTTTTGGGTCACACCCAGCAAATGCTCAGGGGTTACTCCTGGCTTTGTACTCAGGAACCACTCCTGGCGGTGCTCAGGGGACTGCATGGGATGCTGGGAATCAAACCCAGGTCGGCCGCGTGCAAGGCAAACGCCCTACCCGCTGTGCTATTGCTCCAGCCTCCCTCCTCCGTTTTTAATTAGAAATAAGGGGCTACGAGAACAGATGACTGGTTAAAGTCATGAAATTTACATACAAGTGGTACTACATGGAAAGTATCATGTTAAGCGAAATGAGTCAGAGAGAGAGGGATAGTCATAGAAAGATTGCATTCATCTGGGGAACATAAAGTAACAAAATAGGAGAATAACACCCAAGAATGGCCGAGATTAGTACCAGGAATTTTGCTCCATGGCTTGGAGGCCAGCCATACATGCTAGGGGAAAAGGCAGCTCAGATAGAGAAGGGAGCACCAAATAAAGGGTGTTGGGAGGATCCTCCCAGGATGGGAGAAGCATGCTGAAAGTAGACTATAGACTAAACATGATTGCCACTCAATGCCTCTTTTGCAAACCACAACACCCAGAAGGAGAGAACAGAGGGGAATGCCCTGCCACAGAGGCAGGGTGGGATGGAGGGGATGGGGGGTGGGAGGGATACTGGGACCTGTCGTGGTGGAAAATGGGCACTGGTGGAAGGATGGGTATTTGATCATTATATAATTGAAACCTAAGCACAAAATATGTAAGTCTACAACTGTACCTCATGGTGTCTCACTAATAAAAATTAAAAAAAAAAGAAATAAGGGGCTAGAGTGAGAGCACAGCGGGTAGGGCATTTGCCTTGCATGTGGCCGACCCAGGTTCAGTTCCCAGCAACCCATATGGTCCGCTGAGCACCATCAGGAATAATTCTCAGAGCCGCAGAGCCAGGAGTAACCCCTGTGCATCGCCGGGTGTGACGAAGGAAGGAAGGAAGGAAGGAAGGAAGGAAGGAAGGAAGGAAGGAAGGAAAAGAAAGAAAGAAAGAAAGAAGGAAAGAAAGAAAGAAAGAAAGAAAGAAAGAAAGAAAGAAAGAAAGAAAGAAAGAACAGGAAATTTTGTACCATGGCGTATTTTCTTTTCTTTTTTTTTTTTTTTTTTTTGCTTTTGGGTCACACCCGGCATTGCACAGGGGTTCCTCCTGGCTCTGCACTCAGGAATTACTCCTGACGGTACTCGGGGGACCATGTGGGATGCTGGGAATCGAACCTGGGTCGGCCATGTGCAAGGCAAACGCCCTACCCGCTGTGCTATCGCTCCAGCCCCATGGCATACTTTCTTATGGTTATAATATACTACTCAGCTTTGCAATTTATTCTCTTAATTGCCTGGTCTGCTTAAGATTGGCTGTCTATCCAAATAAGACTTTCACGACAGCTAGAAAATGAAAGGAAAACGATAGATAAGGGTTCCAGTTTCCCCACATCTCTGCCAACACTTGTGACTGGCTTTTTGCTTCTTCCTTTGTGTTGTCAAGTCTTCTCCCTGCGTCTCGTGTTGGAGCTTTGGTCTTTTCCTCAGGCTGTTCTGCCGCTCAGCCCTCCATCTCGCATGCTAATCTCACGACCCTCTTCCTAGTTTTCTCCTCTTTGCTCTCCTGATGTCCTGTGCCACGGTTTCCTTGAGCTCCTTAAGCAATCCCTGAATATCCCAAGTAATAAACACCAACTCCTTCTCTGCAAGTTGGCAGAATTGGTTGGCGATGGTCTTCTGTGTCATCATTCTCACCTGTCGAGCTTGGGGGGTGTCTGTGTGTCTGCTGCGCTCAGGATGAATCTTCGGAGCTTTCGCCCGTGGGGGTCTCTGAGGGATTCAGTTGCGGGGTGGTCTCTCCTTTTCCTGCCCGTCTTTTCCCTGTGACAGGAAGTGTAAGTGTGAGCAGCGTGGGGTGTGCTGAGGTCAGATGTGGAGGTGGCCTCCTGACATGGTCCAGCCAAGATGGACCCAGCCGAGAGCAGAATCCATTTCCTGTTCCAGAAAGGCTTCGGGGGTGTCAGCCTGCAGCTGAACCTCACCTGGAAGGGTAGAAGAGCCAGCAGGGATGGGGGCAAGTGTGTGTGTGTGTGGGGGGGGGGTGTTATAAATCTTAGAATTGCTCAAGACTTTTTTTTTTTTGCTTTTTTGGGTCACACCCTGCGATGCACAGGGGTTACTCCTGGCTCTGTACTCAGCAATCATTCCTGGTAGTGCTTGGTGGACCCTATGGGATGCTGGGAATCGAACCCGGGTCAGCCATGTGCAAGGCAAACGCCCTACCCGCTGTGCTATCTGCTATCGATCCAGCCCCACCAGGCTATTTTCAAGGCATTTGTATTCCCAGATGTGCTTCTGTTTCCAAGCAGTATCACCGTACCCCTATTGATTAACCATCTAACTGCCTATTGTCTGTGACTCTGAGGTTTATTCCTTTGGCAGAGCACTCTCCTTCGAGCACCAGATAAACAGCCAAAGTACCTCTTCAGCACTGTCACTGGAGTGTTTTGAAGGAAACACAAACAGGTCCCCAGCTAAAGTTTCTGACCTCTAGAAAAAGTAATCCCTAGAAAAACAAGATCCCTAACTATAGAACTTAAAAAATGTGACTAGGGGCCAGAGCAATAGTACAGCAGGAAGGGTGTTTGCCTTGCATGTGGCCGAGCTGGATTCGATCCCCGGCATTCTGGATGATTCTCTCTCATTGCCTGGCGTAGTTCCTGGCTGCAGAGCGAGGAGTAACTCCTGAACATGGCCAGGTATGACCCAAAAAGCCAAAAAAAATTTAAATAAAAAATGTGACTGGATCTGCTCATAAGAGAGAGAGATCCCAAGTGAAAGGACTAGGGTAGCTTTTTGATAGAAATCAGCATTTGAAATGATTTTTTTTTCCTCTCTGGTCTTTAACTTTTCTCTAGTTCTGAATGTAATATGCTGCATTAAATTTTTATGACAACAAACTGCTTTTTAAAAGCAAACTGCCTGTATGCTAGAGAAAAGGGAGTAATATACCAAGAAAAAAAAATTTTCCTTTTCACGTAATAAATTCATGATTCTAAACAGTTTTGTTAACTTTTTGCATTTGTTTTATAACACTTATTTTATTCCCAAATTCTTCCAAGATTTTGTTTACTGCCTTTTAAAAGATTTTTTTTTTTAATTTGTTTGTTTGTTGGGGGTGGGGGAAAGCCTTGAGTGAGAGTTGCTCAGGGCTTATTCTTGCCTCTAAGCTCAGGAGTGACTCCTGCTAGGTTTCAGGGACCATATGGGGTGCTGGGGATCACCCAACCCAGATCCACTTTGTGCAAGGCAAGCCCCCTACCCGCTGTACTCTCTCCTCTCTCTTTCTCTCTCTCTCTTTTCTCCCTCTCTCTCTGGCTCCACCGAACTAATTTTTTTTGCAGGGGGAAGGGGGATCCCAGCTTTGAAGGCCTGCAAAAAAACTCAGCTATCCAGAGATGTGTAATCACCAAAGGACTAGGAAGTCCCTTGTCGGAACCCTGCTTTTGGGGTGCTAGGAAGTAAGGGCAACTGAGGCCTAAGTTGAGAGAACAGATGCCCCGGAGTGAATATCATTCAGAGTCAATTAATTCCCAAGTTGCAAAAGCCTAGTATTAACTGTCTTCTTGTGTTTATACAAAAAGGACATTGCGGGGCCAGAGCGATAGCACAGCGGGTAGGGCGTTTGCCTTGCACGCAGCCGACCCGGGTTCGATCCCCGGCATCCCATATAGTCCCCCAACCACCACCAGGAGTACTTCCTGAGTGCAAAACCAGGAGTAACCTCTGAGCATTGCTGGGTGTGACCCAAAAGGCAAAAAATTAAAAAAATTAAAAAAATAAAGAACAACAGCAAAAAGAAACCTTTACTGGTGATAGGTTTAAAAAAAAAAAGGACATTGCTCTGAATTAACTATGCGAAGGATATAAGGACAAAAGCAATATTTGCAAGTTAGCAGAGTGGTTAGGTGATAAAGGTGATTGACCGGTCTGGGAAGCAGAGCACAAAGAAAGAGGCTATAGATAAACACAGGAATTGGGAGCACTGTGATGGGAGTAACCCAGTAACCCTAAGCTCCCTGTGGCAAGGCAGAAAGGACCAACCAGTATTATTCTACCATCCAGAAGGGCAGTAACACCTGACCTTTCCTTGTACAGGACTGGAGTCCGTCGTGGTCATTGGAGAAGTTCATGAGAATGTGACTCTGCCCTGTGGCAACTTCTCGGGCCCGAGGGGTCTGGTGACCTGGTACCGGAATGACTCGCAGCCGACCCTCCTTGTGTCCTCCGAGCCCGGCCGCCCACCTGCCAAGACGCGCTTTTCTCTGGCCCTCGCTGGCTCCCTGCTCATCGAGGCGCCGGCCTTGCAGGACGAGGGCAATTACACCTGCCGGGAACTGGACCCCTTGAACCAGACGCGGTGGTTCGGCGTGGAGCTGCTCATGGCCAGTAAGTAGGGTGGGAAGGGCGGGCGGGGGGAGGGGGCACGGCAGACCCCAGAGCCTCCCACAGGAGCCGGCTTGGAGGCAGTGACCTGAGTTTCACCCCAGGCTTTGAACCCACAAAAGGAACGACCTCTCGCACCTCCGTCTCCTCCTCTGGAAAACGTGAACAGGAAGAACCTGTTGCAGGGAATCGCTGCTGGTTTGTCTGTAGAAAGGGCTAGAAATGGATCCTGTGGCTTTTAGCTTCATACTGACCCTTCTGTTAATATTGTATTAGGGCGACAGAGTGACAGTACGGCGAGGGGGGCATTTGCCTTGCACACAACCCAGCCAGGTTCGACTCCCGACAGCCCGTATGGTCTCCTGAACACTGCCAGGAGTAGTTCCTGAGTACAGAGCCAGGAGTAACCCCTAAGCATCGCCAGGTGTGACCCAGGAAGCAAATAACAATGATGATAATCACTGTGTCACACTGTCATCCCACTGATCGTCGAATAACTCAAGCGGGCGCCAGTACCGTCTCTATTTCTCCCAGCCCTGAGATTTTAGCAGCCTCTTCTTCTCGTCTTCCCGACGATCGGAGGCTCTTTCAGGGTCAGGGCAATGAGACCTGTCGTTGTTACTGTATTTGGCATATCCAATACACCACAGGGAACTTGCCAGCTCTGCTCGTGCGAGCGAAATACTCTTGGTAGCTTGCCAAGCTCTCCGAGAGGCATATATTTATGTAGTCTTATAATGTGTCCGCACTATCTGGGTTCTGTGGGATTTCATTCATGTGTGAGGCTTGGCCTGAGCATCCGGAAAGCGACCTGGAGCGTGGCGGTGGTTGGGTGGTGGAGGTCGGCTGCCGGGTCTGGGTCCCTTGGGGTGGGGAGGGCTCTCACCCACCCCACAGCCTGGTGCTGGTGCTGGTGATGATGATGATAATAATAATAATAATAATTGTTTGTTAGGATGCAAAAACAGTACAGCGACAAATCAAGCCAGACTCCCTCAGTTCCCCTCCTAACACCCTGGCAGCTAGAGTAAGCAGCTTTAAATTTTGAAGCTCCGTTCCCTCCTTTGTCAGCTGGGGATCAATTGTTCCGTGTGCGTGTGGTTCTCTCACCAATCATGCTTGGTGCAGGCTTTGAGCTGCTTTTACTAGTTCACTTTCCTGCGGGGTCTGTGTGGCGTGTGTGGTAGCGGACATGTGAGCAGGGCTTGGCAAAATACAATCTTTGCAGCCTTTCTGCCTGCTCCCCATTGTTTTTGTGGGGGGCGTGCGGGTCCTATTCAGCAGAACACGAGGACTGCACCTGGCTTTATACTTGGGGGTCTCTCCTGGCAGCGCCCAGGGGACTCTGCGGTGCCAGGGATTAGACCTGGGCCTCGCAGAGCTTGGCCGTCAGCCCACTGAGCTCTCTCCGCCTCAGTTCTGTTGTATAAAACCAACCAGTGATGTTTCTTTTGTTTCTCTGGGTGGGGAACCACACTTGGCGATGCTCAGGGCTTGCTCTGGGCTCTGCACGCGGGGATAACTCCTGATGGGCTTGTGGGATCACGTGGGGTGCCGAGGATTGAACTCGGGTCAGCCTCGGGCCAGGCAAGCGGCCTTCCCCCTGTGCTGTCTCTGACCCTTCTGGACTTGGGAAGTCTGTCCTAGGAAACGAAGGTGCCTGTTCAAGATTGAGATTTTATTCTGAGTACAGGAGGGCCCGCTGGATCTTTGAATCAGCAGGCAGGCAGACTCGTTAGAAGCTCAACGGGTTCCCAAAATATCATGGTATGAGGTGAGCAAGACAAGCAGGTGGACAGGGAGTGGAGGGCCAAGGAAAGAGACTTAAAGGCTGCTCAGAGATCTGTGGAGCATCCCAGAGGTTTCTGCAGATTTCCAGGCTCCGGACTGTGAGAACAGCGTTAATGCGGATGCAGGTCCTGGAAATGAATCACTGCGTCACGCGAGATGAATGGGAGTGTCCACAGCATCACTCACCCAGGCTCAGCCCTGGTGTCCACTGTGGCCTCCTTTTTCCCTTCCCTCCTGGCACCCAGCAGTTCTCTCGTGCCTGCTGGAGCGATAGCACAGCGGTAGGGCGTTTGCCTTGCGCGCGGCCGGCCCAGCCAAGCCAGGTTCGATTCCTCCGCCCCTCTCGGAGAGCCCGGCAAGCCGCTGAGAGCATCTCGCCCGCACGGCAAAGCCTGGCAAGCTCCCCGTGGCGTATTCGATATGCCGAACACAGTAACAACAAAGTCTCCAATGGAGACGTTACTGGGCCCGCTCGAGCAAATCGATGAACAACGGGAGGACAGTGCTGTCCTGTCCATCGGAACCTCTCCTCTTTGACCACACAAGAGTGAGGAACATTACAGCGCTGACAAATCTCTATCTGAATCTCTCTCTCCCATTTATGGTGACTTTATCTGATGCTCGTTTATTAATCATTGACTAAATTTGTTCGAGGACAAGCGAGTTTCCCTTTTACCTAGACTGGAGGTAAATACCGTGTCTTTGTCTGATCAAAGAGAACTTATATCTTACGTTTTATTTTGTTTGAGGAGGAAGTGAGGCCACTCCCGGCCGTGCTCAGGGGCTGGTCCTGACTCTTGCTCAGATACAATCTCTGGTGGGGCTCAGGAGAGCAGATGTGGAGCCAGAGATTCGAATCAGGGTTGGCTGCATCTGAGGCAAGTGCCTTAACCCTTACACTGTCTCTGTGGCCCTACGGGCAACTTTTCCTGTTGGCAAAGAACCCGAGAGGTAAAATGGGAGTTTCCTGTTTTGTGGGTCACTGAGATGTAGGTGAACCCTCAGGGCTCACCGAAACTCTTGGCCAGCCAACCTTTTCATAGTTACGATGGGAAAGAAGAATGTGAGTTCTGGTCTCAGGACGGACTTCTCAGACTCCTAAAGATTCTCTAGAAGTTTCTTTTGCATAAGAGACATTTTCATATCTAAGAAATATCTTGTAAAAGATTTTTCCTCTTTGTACCAAGAATTGAAACAGGACAAATCTCCAGAAATTCTGAGAGAGAGAGAGAGAGAGAGAGAGAGAGAGAGAGAGAGTGTGTGTGTGTTGGATCACATTCGGTGGTGCTCAAGGCTTGCTCTGTGCTTAGGGATCATTCCTGGTGGAGCTCAGGGGACAGCATGGGGTGCTGAGGGTCAAACCGGTCTCGGCTGTTCCCTCCCTCTCTGGCCCCTTCCAGAAATTCTTTCTTTTTTCTTTTTTGCTTTTTAGGTCACACCTGGCGATGCTCAGGGGTTACTCCTGGTTCATGCACTCAGGAACTACTCCTGGCCGTGCTCAAGGGGACCATATGGGATGCTAGGGATCGAACCCGGGTTGGGCCGCGTGCAAGGCCCTACGCGCTGTGCTATCACTCCAGCCCCTCCAGAAATTCTTACCCGGGGAGGGAGCAGGCACTTTATCTGCAAAACACAGGTACCCCGATTGCTGCTTCACATCTGCCCAGTCACTGACTTCCCCGCTAAACAACATCTGTCTTTAGCTCAAGATGTTTTTTGACATGATTGCTTGGGGGAGCCATTTCCGCTGTGAGTCAGTTTTCTGGGTGTCTCCCATGCATGTGGGAGGTATACATGTTATTACACTTTTGTTTTCTTTTCTCCTATGAATGTGTAGGGCGGACTCAGCCAAGAACCTCCTGGGCTAAGGGAGGGAAATGATTTTTTTCACATATTTTTTTTTATTATTATTATTATTAGTGAAACACCATGAGGTACAGTTGTAGATTTACATTTTTTTGTGCTTGGATTTCGATTATACAGTGATCAAATACCCATCCCTCCACCAGTGCCCATTTTTCACCACCATGGATAATATCCCTTCCACCCCCGCCCCTCCCATCCCACCCTGCCTCTGTGGCAGGGCAATCCCTTGTGTTCAGGGAGGGAAATGATTTTTCACTTCACTATTGATGAGGCAAGACCAATACTCTCATATTTTTTCATTGAAAAAAATTAAAAGTAGATTACTCTTTGGGTTGGTTTACTTGGGGGGGAGGAATGGAAACAGAAGGCTTATGATAAGAAGAATGACTTTTTTTTTTGGTGGGAGGGATAATATTTCAGTTCATTGAAGGTCCAAGTGAATGTTCTCCCCGAGTGACAGTGAGTGTGCCTCTGTGAAATTCATCTTGGGCCAGGAGATGGCTCTTGAGGCTGGAGCTTTGCCTGAGGGAGTCCTGGGTTGGATCCACGGCACTGCATGGCCCCCCAGTAATCCCCAAGCACGAAGCTTGGGAGCAGCCCCCAAGCATCAGCTGGTGTGGCCCCCTGACAAAACAAAACAAAACTCAAAAAAGTGCAAAACCACCCTTGCCGTAAGCTGTACGGAAAGAGACAGTGAGCATCCATTGCAGCTGCCTCTTGTAGAATCACTCCACCTGTATAAGGCTGACAAAGCATCAGGTCATACACGGCCCACATGTCACAAACCAGGTGAAGTCACTGTTTATACAAGATCATAGGATCCGCCAGTAACACTGAAGGAAAAGTGACTTTTGGGTTTATTTTCCTTCTTCCATTTTATTTTTGGGTTGGGGGCCACCCTGGGGGTGTTCGGGGCTTACCCTTGGCTCTGTGCTCAGGGATCACTGCTGGCATAGCTGGGAGGACCCTATGGGGTACTGGGGATCGAACCTGAGTCTGTTGGACTCTTTTTTTTTTTTTGCTTTTTGGGTCACACCTGGCGATGCACAGTGGTTACTCCTGGCTCTGCACTCAGGAGTTACTCCTGGCGGTGCTTGGGGGACCCTATGGGATGCTGGGGATCGAACCCGGTTCGGCCGCGTGCAAGGCAAACGCCCTCCCCGCTGTGCTATCTCTCCAGCCCCTCTGTTGGACTCTTTTCTCTCTTCCATTTTATGGGACAGACAAGAAAGTGAGAATGAGAGAGTGGGCACCCGCTAGAGACGGGCTGAGTCTGGGTCGAATCCCACCCAGATCTCTCAGAATTCAGAGCACAAGCTCACGTCTGAGGCTCAGGTCTCTGTGCAAGAAAGAACCAAGATGGGCCAGAACACAGCGGGTAGGGCATTTGCCTTGCACGCACCTGACCTGGTTCGGTCCCCGGCATCCCATATGGTCCCCCGAGCACCTCTAGGAGTAATTCCTGAGTGCAGAGCCAGGAGTAACCCCTGAGCATCGCTGGGTGTGACCCAAAAAGTGGAAGGAAGGAAGGGAGGGAGGGAGGGAAGGAGGGAGGGAGGGAGGGAAGGAGAGGGGAGGGAGAACCAAGAGCCCAAGTGATATACAGTGGGTAGCATGCTTGCCTTGCATGTGACTGACCTAGGTTTGATCCCTGGCACCCCAAATGGTCCCCGAGCCCACCAACAGACCCAGGAGTAAGTCCTGAACACTGTCAGGTGTGGCCGCAAAACATACAGCAAAAACGAATTGGGAACTGGGGGGAGGGGAGCAGAGAAATAGCCCAGGGGTAAGGTCACCACCTTGCAGATTGCCAATCCCTGGCACTGCAGATGGTCTCCTGAGTACCTCAGCGAGGGGGGGCGGTCTCTGAGTCCAGAACCAGGGAGAGACCTGAGCACTGAGCATATGAGGTGTGCACCAAACTGCCTCCCCACCAAAAAATAAAGGGTTGAGAATTGGAATGGCAAGTGACCAAGACCTTGATCAGATGCCAAACCTTTGGGCAGTTCCTTTGGGTAGGAGCCCTGAGCACAGCCAGTGGTGGTGGTGGTGGGGGCAGTGGGGCCACACGTACCAGACCCTCCACAAGGCAGAGTGGCCTGGAGTGGCCTCCTGACCCCAGCTCCTCTGGGGCTGGCCCCTATAAAATAAAAAATTACTGGCGAAACCTTTGAAATTAGGCTCTCTTTGTATTTATTGGATGGTTTTCTTTTTGCTTCATCTTTTTTTTTTTTTTTGCTTTTTGGGTCATACCCGGTCATAACCAAAGCACAGGGGTTCCTCCTGGCTCTGCACTCAGGAATTAGTCCTGGCGGTGCTTGGGGGGCCATATGGGAATCGAACCTGGGTCGGCTGCATGCAAGGCAAATGCCCTACCCACTGTACTACTCCAGCCCCTGCATTTGTTTTTGAGCTACTTTCTGGCTCTGCACTTAGGAGTTACTCCTGACGGTGTTCGGGGACCCTGTGGGAAACTGAGGATCAAACTTGGGTCGGCTGCATGCAAGGCAAGCACTCCACGCACTATACTGTCTCTTGTCGTCCTGTCTGCTTTGGGGAGGGGGTTGTTGTGCTAAACTTCCTCTGCAAGTCGCAAAGGCTGGTGGTTTCTGTGTAGGAACCTCAGGGGGATGGGGTGAAGGGAAAGGGAGGCCATCAGGAAATGCCCAGGTCCTTCTTGGAAAGTCAAAGGAGGCAAAGGACAGCAAGGAACAAAGGCGATTGATTGACTTAGTTGGAACCGAGGGCTTAGGGTAAACTGTGAACACTGCACCGGGCCCTTGAGAATGTCTCATCTCCTTTTCCCCACTTTTTAAACCTGTCTGAAAGCCCCTCCCCCCAGTATTGGGGGGTCTGTGCTGCTCAGAAGAGGCCACCAGCCCGTGCGAAGGACCTTGGACCCTGCTCTATGGCTCCCAGGCTGAACAGCCTGGGTGTGGGCCGCAGGGGTGCCCGTGCCCCGGTGGGCAGCTGCCAACTGTGGGTGTGCCCCCAGACTGCTGGCCCGCACACCCAGCTGTGAGCAGGAGTGAAGGGATGTGCCCTCCAGAACCCCAAGGACATTTCCCCCAGGTGCCAGCACGTTCCCGCGGCTCTGAGCAGCCGCTCGCAGCGCAGTCCTAGTCTCTAAGCACTGTTCCTGGAGGGGCCACACTCTCTAGGACGTCTCAGGGGCTTCAGACTTCGCTGCTTTACTTAAGGGGTGCTGTTTCCCTTTGGCCTGTTTTTGTTCGAATTCTCCAGACCGATTCATCCCTGGGATCAAACATTGTCCTCTCTGGATTCTTCGTTCCTTTTGAAAAGGGGACACGTGTGGGAGCCGGATGGGACTTTCGTATAGGCGGATGTTATCAAAGGGATGCCCATTCGAGGAATGTGGCATCTTGGGTGCCCTGGGTACCAGCATTGCTGGGAGCAAACAAGAAATTCAGAGACATGTGGGGAGGGCCGGAGTAATAGTACGGTGGGTATGGGGCTTACCTGCACACGGCTGTGCCGGGTTCCATCCCCACACCACATAGGGTCCCAAGAGCTTGCCCGGAGGGATTCCCTGAGTACAGAACCCGGTGTGGCCAAAAAAAAAAAGATGGGGGGGCTGGAGCGATAGCACAGCAGGTAGGGTGTTTGCCTTGCACGCAGCCGACCCGGGTTAGATTCCCAGCATTCCATATGATCCCTCAAACACCTCCAGGAATAATTCCTGAGTGCAGAGCCAGAGTTAACCCCTGTGCATCGCCGGTGTGACCCAAAAAGCCAAAAAAAAAAAAAAGATGGGGGAGGAACCTGACATAGGACTAAGTTCAAACTTTTTCAGTGTGGAACTGTACTTGGAGTTAATTCTCAAGGGGATCTGATTGAGTATAGCCAAAGGCCCCAAAGAACAATTTGCCACAGACACACGGTTTCTGCCCCGGGGGAGGCAGGAGCAAGCTCCTAAGAACTGTCTGCATCCTGGCCAGGTCACAGGACACACGCCTCATTCCTTCGGTGGCAGCGGCAGCAGCTGAAATGTTTGCCCGGCAGCTTAGAGGTGACGCGGCACCAAGTTTGTTGTTGGGGACTGGCCACGTTGGCACCGTCTGCCTAGCCCCTCCCCAGATTCCAGACTCTCAGGAGAGCCGGTGTGCAGCCTAAACAGGCGGCCCAAACAGTTTTGCCCTCCTGGGCTCCTCTTAGCAAAACGATGCAGCCTCACCTGACCTTTCCATTCCCTCGGCTTGTCTCGGCCAACCTTGCAAGCCGACCTTGGTGATAGGAAAGCGGTCTGAGGCCTGGTCTCTCTGTTCTTTCCTCCTTTCTTCTCCTTCACTCTTTCTGTGGTTTGGGGGCTGTTGCTTAGGGGCTGCTCCTGGCACAACGCTTGGCATCACTCCTAGTGGTGCTCAGGGGATTTAACCTGCACCTCCTGCACTCAGCTCCTGAGCTGTTTCTTCAGGCCCGTCTGTTACAGCTTTTATTTATTTTGGCTTTTGGGTTACACCCAGGGATGCTCAAGGCTGATTCCTGGCTCTGCACTCAGCATCACACCTGGTGGTGCTCGGAGGACCATATGGGATGCCAGAGATCGAACCCGGGTCTTCCACATGCAAGGCAAATGCCCTATCCACTGTACAATCTCTCTCTGGCTCCACTGTCTGTTAAAATTCTTTAATACACAGATGTTTTTCCCACTCAGCAGTGCTTTTGAAAAGGAACAATCAGCGCGTTCCTTTTTTCTGTAAAAGGTAAGGTAAAGGTAAAGGCCCTCCCGTTGATCGTCGATTTGCTCGAGCGGGCCCAGTAACGTCTCCATTGGAGACTTTGTTGTTACTGTGTCTGGCATATCGAATACTCTCGGTAGCTTGCCGGGCTCTCAGAGAGGGGCGGAGGAATCGAACTCGGGTCGGCCACGTTGGCCGCTTGTAAGGCGAATGCCCTACCGCTGTGCTATCGAGGAAGGAATATATATATGGAATATATATATATATATAGCACACTGTTAGCACACTGTTCTCCCGTCGTTCATCGATTTGCTCGAGCAGGTCCAGTAACGTCTCCATTGTGAGATTTCTTGTTACTGTGTTTGGCATATTGAATACTCTCATTAGCTTGCCAGGCTCTCCGAGAGGGACAGAGGAATCGAACCTGGATCGGCCGTGTCGGCCGCTTGCAAGGCAAACACCCTACCACTGTGCATTCGCTCCAGCCCATACACTTATATGGGATTATATATACATATATATTTGTATATATTTATATGTAATGATCAATATAGATGTATGATATATGTATATATCATATCTGTAAGTATATATTTATATACTTATGATGATGGACTAGAGTGATAGCACAGCGGGTAGGGCGTTCACCTTGTGCACAGCCGGCCTGGCCGAGCTGGGTTTGATTCCTTCGCCCCTCTCGGAGAGCCCGGCAAGCTACCGAGAGTATCTTGCCCGCACAGCAAAGCCTGGCAAGCTACCTGTGACGTATTCGATATGCCAAACACAGTAATAACAAGTCTCACGATGGAGACGTTACTGGGCCCACTCGAGCAAATCGATGAACAACGGGAGGACCGTGACCGTGACTTATGATGATATATACCATCAGTCTGTGACCTCGTCTAGACTCAAGAATCTCGCCCTCCAAGAGACCATGCAGTCTTTAACATGGTGCTTGTCCTATAACAAGCGTCTGGAGAGAGATTGTCACCCTCAGGACTCTTTTTTTTGGGTCACACCCAGCGATGCTCAGGGGTTCCTCCTGGCTCTGACTCAGGAATCACTCCTGGCAGTGCTCGGTGGACCATATGGGATGCTGGAAATCGAACCTGGGTCGGCCGCGTGCAAGGCAAACGCCCTACTCACTGTGCTATCGCTCCAGCCCAGTCAAGCCTCTTCTTGCTCAGTTTTGTGTCTCTCTGAGCTGGTAAAGAGCTCGAGCCAACACTTTTGCGTGTGGGGGGACAGGACAAAGGGTACTCAGGGATCACTCCTGGCTGTGCCCAGGACAGAATGCGGGCCTGTGCCTGACCCGTCACGCTGTCGCTCCTGCCCCCAAGTCTGTCCCTTCTAATGCCTGTCCTCCCCTTGCCCCTGTCTTCCCCAGGTGGCCCCGACCAGCTGGAGGTGGACATTGCGGCCACGGGCACGCTCCCCAACGGGACCCTGTATGCAGCCAAGGGCTCTGAGGTGACCTTCAGCTGCAGCAGCCACAGCTCGTGGCCTCCGCCCATGATCGAGTGGTGCTTCGGGGTCCCGGGGTCCAAAGGCGAGTCCTTCCGCAGCCACCTGTCGGTCAGCAGCTTCTCGCTCATACAGATGTCACACAACCTCCAAGGGAACTACACTTGCGTGGCCACCAACCTGCGCAGCGGGAGACTCCGAAAGGTGACCTCCGAGCTCCTGGTCTACTGTGCGTAAGCAGCAGCCCGGCCCCGCCGCTCCCCTGCCCCTCCCGGATGCCCCCAAAAGGCAGACCCCCTGCGTGCCGCCTACGAGCTCACTGGCCGCCTCAGCCCGTGGGCAGGCCTAATGTGCAGCCGGGACAGGGAGGGAGTTGCCTCTTCTGGAAACTGCGGCTCTCAAGCGGGACTGGCGGGTCTGTGGCGGGAGACCCTATGGGATGCCGGGGATGGAGCCAAGGTCGGCCTCGTGCAAGGCAAGCATCTCCTGCTGAACTCTTGCTCCGGCCCCAACATGAACGAACCATTTAAAATGTACCACTTGGGGGGCTGGAGCGATAGCACAGCGGGCAGGGCGTTTGCCTTGCACGCGGCCAACCCGGGTTCGATTCCCAGCATCCCATAGGGTCCCCTGAGCACTGCCAGGAGTAACTCCTGAGTGCAGAGCCAGGAGTAACCCCTGTGCATCGCCAGGTGTGACCCAAAAAGCAAATAAAATAAATGAAATGCACCACTTGTGCCAAAATACAGCGGGTAGATGCTTGCCTGCCTTGTGGGTTCGATCCCCGGTCCCTGAGCACTGCCAGGAATGATCCCTGAGCACAGAGCCAGGAGTAACCCCTGAGCATCGCTGGTGTGGCTCCACAACAAAGCAAGCAAACCAGAATGTACCACGTGAGGAGGGACAGTGCAGGGGTCAAGGTGCTTGCCTTGTACCTGGCCAACCCTGGTTGATCCTCAGTATGGCATGTGCCCTCCACGCATTGCCGGGGGGAGTAGCCCCTGAGTATCACTGCTATGGCCCGTAAGCATTTTCCTGCCCCCACAAAAGGGAGCATCAGGGCAGAGAGTGGACTCAAACCCTTAATAAATTGCTCTGCTCTCTGCCACAAATGTTCCTTATTATCCGTCACATCAGCATCCTATTAGCTTACAGGGAAGACCGGAACATAAAGAAAAAAGTGCAGTGTTTCTGGGGCTGGAGCGATAGCACAGCGGGTAGGGCATTTGCCTTGCATGCGGCCAACATGGCCGACCAGAGTTCGATTCCTCCGCCCCTCGGAGAGTCCAGCAAGCTACCGAGAGAATCTTGCAAAGCCTGGCAAGCTACCCGTGCCCGAATTCGATATGCCAAACACAGTAACAACAAGTCTCACGATGGAGACGTTACTGGGCCCGCTCGAGCAAATTGATGAAAAACGGCAGTGTTTCTTGGTCATTCTCCCACTTTCTCCTGCCCATTCTTGCTTCCTTCCTGTCTTACCAGTTGACTCCATCACCTAATGCCGTGGTTCCCATTTACACAGTTTTTACCTGGGACCCCTTTGGAATGTCTGGGGACTCACAGACCCAGGTGGCCCTTATTTGAGAAACTGGGTAACCATTGTTTTGGAATATTCACAATCATGTTTCTTGTGGAAGTCACATGGCCGACTATCTGGATAACATCAAAAGGTAGTTTGTTTTCATTTTCTTTTTTGAACCACACTTGGTGGTGTTCAGGGCTTATGGGATGCCAGGGATCAAACCCGGGTCAGCTACATGCAAAAACCCTGTACTCCGGCTCCTAAAATAGGTTTTTATACTAATAAAAGTATGATATAAAATATACAACAATATTATTTGCATCATATATACTTTATGCAAGTAGAGGTAGTATTAACACGTGGATTAAAATTGTGTTGAATTTTTACATGTGTTTTTATTTTTATTAAAAGAAAAAAAGTTTTTGTTTTGGTTTTGCGCCACACCTGGTGGTGGTCAGGGCTTACTCCTGGCTCTGTGCTCAGGGATCACTCCTGGCAGTGTTCCAGGGACCAGGTGGGATGCCGGGGATTGAATCCAGGTGGGCTACATGCAAGGCATATGCCTTCTCTGCTGTATTATCTCTCCAGCCTCTAAAATTTTTTTAGTTACTTCGGAGTGCTTAGGGGACCATGTAGTTCTGGGAATGGGAGTGTAAAGATAATGTAAAGATAAAGGTAAAGGCCCTCCCGTTGTTCATCGATTTGCTCGAGCGGGCCCAGTAACTGTCTCCATTGGAGACTTTGTTGTTACTGTGTTTGGCATATCGAATACGTCACGGGGAGCTTGCCAGGCTCTGCCGTGTGGGCGAGATACTCTCGGTAGCTTGCCGGGCTCTCCAAGAGGGGTGGAGGAATCGAACTCGGATCGGCCATGTTGGCTGCGTGCAAGGCAAACGTCCTACCACTGTGCTATCACTCCGTGGTCTCATTTTCTTTTTTGAGCCACACCTGGTGGTGCAAGCGATCCCTAACGCCTGCACTATCTCTATGACCCTTTCGTGTTTTCAGTTTGGGGGTAGAGAACTGGGGGCTCCTCGCAGCTCGGTGGTTGGGGGGTCACTCTCAGTGGTACTTGGACAAGCGTGCAGTCCTGGGGGGTCAAACATGGGTCTTCTGCATGCCAAGTGTCTGCCCAGCCCAGGAAACCACCTCTCAGGCCTCACACGTGCTCCCAGTAATACATGCACATGGTAACAAGGAAGTCCTTTGGGTGGGGTGTGTATGACCCCTCCACGCTGTAACTCCTGCTAGGAACTCATATTAGTTGGGCCCCCTTTTCATGACGATGGGAAGTTCTGGCCACCGAATGCAGTTGTCCCTTACAACTTGCCGCCTTTGAGGTCCCCCAAGTGTAGACAAGTGACAGAGGAACGAAGTCTGTCATCTTATCTATTGGAACTTAAAAAGCCCCATGTGGGCCAGAGCAATAGTACAGCAGGGAGGGCGTTTGCTTTGAACGCGGTCGACCCGGGTTCGATCCCCAGCATCCCACATGGTCCCCCAAGCACCGCCAGGAGTCTTTCCTGAGTGCAGAGCCAGGAGTAACCCCTGAGCATCCTGGGTGTGACCCAAAAAGCAAGAAAAAAAAGCCCCATGTGACCGGTGAGAAACCTGAAGATGAATGAGTCCCCTTCGCCCTGCTGCCCGCTCCCAAGAGATCTGGCAGTCAGCGGGGGAACTGGAGATTATCCGCCCATGCCTGACACCGTGGTCTGGGACCCCTGGACACCCGTAACCCTTTGGCCAGGGGCAGTGTGTGACGGACGCCGTGTGTGTTCTTCGTGTCTTGCAGCCCTGCCTCCCTCCGTTCCTCAGTGTTGGGCAGAGATGCCACCAGGCTCATCCGTGTTGCAGCTCACTTGTCGCTGGGATGGGGGGTACCCAGACCCCACCTTCCTATGGACAGAAGAGCCGGGAGGTGTGGTCGTGGGAACATCCCAGCTCGGGGTGGAGACGCTGAACCAGTCCCAGCTGTCCGATGGCAAGAAGTTCCAGTGTGTGGCGGGCCATATCCTGGGACCCAAGGCGGGCGCCAGCTGTGTGGTGCAGATCAGTGAGTACCTGGGCTGGGGGACCTGGGGGCCCCCATCTTCCTCCTGGGAGACAAAAACTGGGAAGGAAACCCCCGAAATGTCTGCTTCTCTGTCCTGACCCCAGTGGTTTGTTTTGTTTTCAACTGGCAGTGACTAATTAAGCATCTGCTCTCTGCTGGGCGGCTTTCAGGGCTGGGGTGGGGCTGGGAACCAGACAGACAAGGTTCACTTATCAGTTATCTCTTGTTAGATAACAAACGAACCCCAAGCTTACTGACTTGAAACAGTCATAATCACTAGCTGGTGATTTCCGGGCGCCAGGAACTCAGACAGTGCCACAGGGAATCGTTTGCACCACTCCCCCGGGGTCTCGTTGGAAGACCCCGGGCAGTCACACAGCCTGAAATGGCGTGAAAGAGCCACTTTCACCCCCTCAGACACCTCTCTCTCCCCCAAAACGTCCACCTGGCTGCTGGGGCGTCCTCACAGCATGGCAGGTCGGCTTCCCTTGGAGCAAGGCGTGCAAGAGGGACCCTAGGCAGGTGTGACCCTTTGTATGGCTTGACCTCAGAAGTCACCCGGGGCCGGAGAGGTGGTGCAGGAGGCAAGGTGTGTGCCTGGCGCCGAGCCAATGCGGATTCTGGCCCTGCTGCCACCTAGAGGCGCCTGAGCACCACTGGGTGTGGCCCCAGACAGACAGGCGGGGTGACTGTTTCATGGGGCTGGAGATAGCGCACAGGAGGCGTGGCATTTGCCTGGCTCAGGCCTCGACTCTTCTGGTGGGGCCCCAACACCCCCACCCCTGCCCCAACACCCGTTTTCCCCAAACCCTTCTGAGCTGTCCTAGGGCCTCCCACTGTCTTTTAGAAGTAAGTAGGAGGGAGGTCGGCCAACTTCCTAGGAAGGTGAGGAGAATTAGGTTCCCTCTTTTTTTCCGCTGGTGATACTCAGTGGTTCCTCATGGCTCTGTGCTCAGGACTCACTCCTGGCAGTGCTCCACGGTCCACATAGGATGTGGGGAATCAAAGCCACGTGTGTAAGGCAAGTGCCCGACCCACTATACAGTCTGTCCAGGCCCCGTCTCTTCTTTTGGAGTGAAAAAGAGTCTTTTTTTCTTTTTTTTTTTTGCTTTTTGGTTGCGCAGGGGTTACTCCTGGCTCTGTGCTCAGGAATTACCCCACAGGGGACCATATGGGATGCTGGGACTCGAACCCAGGTTGGCCGCGTGCAAGGCAAATGCCCTACCCGCTGTGCTATTGCTCCAGCCCAATGAAAAAGATTCCTTTGAGGAGAAAAGAATCAAAAAGCTTTATTCTTTTTTTTTTATTTAAAAGGTAAAGGTAAAGGCCCTCCCGTTGATCATCGATTTGCTCGAGCGGGCCCAGTAACGTCTCCATTGGAGACTTTGTTGTTACTGTGTCTGGCATATCGAATACTCTCGGTAGCTTGCCGGGCTCTCCGAGAGGGGCAGAGGAATCGAACTCGGGTCGGCCATGTTGGCCACTTGTAAGGCGAACGCCCTACCACTGTGCTATCGCTCCAGCCCTTTTTTAAATTTATTTGTGTCTTATTCTTTCTTTTGCTTTTTTTTTCTTTTTGGGTCACACCTGGTGATGCTCAGGGGTTACTCCTGGCTCTGCACTCCTGACGGTGCTCGGGATGCTGGGAATCGAACCCAGGTCAGCCTGTGCAAGGCAAACACCTTATCTGCTGTACTATCGCTCCAGCCCCCTGTGTCTTATTCTTTTTTAAACAACTTCCTCTTTCACAGAGACCTTTGATCTGAGGGCGCTGGATGTGGGAGAATGTGTGAGAGTTTCTCTAGGCTGCTTCTCCAAGGGCGGTGCTTTTGTTTACAGGGGTGGGTCGGGGCTTCCCAGCAATGCTCATGGGCCCTTGGGGCCACTCCTAGCAATACTCTGACTGTTCACTGCTAGGGCTGGTCATGGGAGAGCCAGGATTACTCCCAGCAGCGCCAGGGGTGGAACTCGGGGCCTTGTTGCGTGCAGTGTGTGGACCCCTGATTCTCGAGCTATCTCCGCAGCCCTCAAGAGGCCAGATTTCTTTTTAATTTTAAAAAGAGGAGGGCGGAGGTATGGTGCCACCAGCAGGTCAACCTGTACCCGTGTGGCGAGTGCATCAGCAGCCTGATGGTGCCTGCAGTCTTCCTGGTAACCCCAAATTACCGCCCGCTGTGCCTCTAGCCAGACCCCAACAACTCGGGACCAAGTTTCCCAAGAAATTATTTAGGTAGTGGGAGCCACGCCCACAGACCACCTCGGGCTTAGCTACACAAGTTTATCAGCCTTGCTTCAGAGACCCAGAAATAAATCTCAGAAGAGATCAAGAGCCTTGGTTAATCTTGAACTGGAGCAAGGCTGATCAGATCAGGGTAAATTAGACAGGGCAGGTCAGCCTGGTGCCTGCCCAAGCTGAGCCCCTGGCAACCACTTGCTTCCAAGATCCAAAATCGTTGCATTGTCCCCTGCCAGATTCCACCTTTTTGGAAAGACCCCACTGAGATTTAACTTGCTGAAAATCTGGGTATGTGGGTTTTGTGACTGAAATCTCCAGGTTTTCTCAGGGTCGGGATGGGCTACCTTCCCACCTCCCTGTACTTCCAGGAGCCTTGGCAGTCACGTCCACACCCCCAGACTGCCACCCAGTTAAAAAAGCTACTTCAGTCTTACCTTCCCGAAAAAAAATTCTGAATGCCCTGAACAAACCACAGTGACCTCTTAGTACCTATATTGCAAACCGTAATACACAAAAGGAGAGAGAGAAAGAAGAAAAGTGCCTGCCATAGAGGCAGGCAGGGGGGTGTTGGGGGTGGTGGGAGGGAACCATTGCTGGAAGGATGGGTGTTGGGTCATTGTATGACTGAAACCAAATCATGAACGGCTTTGTAATGGTGTATCTCACGGATATTCAGTAAAAACTTCAAAATAAATAAATAAAAAGAGGAGAGGTTTGGGCCGCACTCAGTGGTACTCGAGGCTTATTCTTGGTTCTGTGCTCCAGGGTCACTCCTGGTGGGCTTCAAGGGACCATATGCGGTGCTGAGTCAGCTGTACAGGCAAGCCCCTTTCCCACTGTACTGTCTTTGGGACCCAGAAGTAATTTTCAGACCAGAGCGTTAGCACAGAAGGTCGGGCATTTGCCTTGCATGCAGCTGACCCGAGTTCAATCCCTGGCATCCCACAGGGTCCCCCAAGCACCGCCAGGAGTAATTCCTGAGTGCAGAACAAGGAGGAACCCCTGAGCATTGCTGGGTATGGCCCCCAAAGCAAAAACAAACAACAAAAACAAAACAAAATTAAAAAAAGAATTTTCATAAAAAGCTCCGGAGGCACTTGAAGCTCCATAATCATTTGTCTTTCTTGCCTATTTTTTTAATGTGGTGTCCAGGGAGCCCCTCCGTCCGCTCGGAGCCCATGAAGACCTGCTTCCTGGGGGGGGACGTCACTCTCACCTGCCAGGTGTCCGGCGCTTACCCCCCTGCCAAGATCCTATGGCTGAGGAACCTCTCGCAGCCCGCGGGGGCCATCCAGCCCAGCAGCCGCCACCTCATCACGCACAGTGGCCAGAGCTCTGCGCTCACCATCCGCAACTGCTCCCAGGAGCTGGACGAGGGCTACTATGTCTGTCGGGCAGAGAACCCCATGGGGGTTCGGGAAGTGGACATCTGGCTGAGTGTGAAAGGTGAGTGATGGTGGCCAGCGCCACAGGATAGCGGGGAGGGCGTATGCCTTGCATGTGGTCAACCTGGGTTTCATCTCTGGCTTCCCATAGGGTTCCCTGAGCACCGCCAGGAGTAATTCCTGAGTGCAGAGCCAGAAATTTGGGACATACCCTGAGCATCACCGGGTGTGACCCAAAAGTCAAAAAAAGGAGGGTGGGGCGGAGCGCTAGCACAGCGGGTAGGGCGTTTGCCTTGCATGCGGCTGACCCGGGTTCAATTCCCATCATCCTATATGGTCCCCCAAGCACCGCCAGGAGTAATTCCTGAGTGCAGAGCCAGGAGTAACCCCTGAGCATCGCCAGGTGTGACCCAAAAAGAAAAAGGAAAGATGAGTGATGGGAAAGCGGGAGCAGGAGGCATGCCCAGCTGGGCCTGGGACCCTGGGCACCTCCTCGCCTGAGGCCCACAGTGCACTTGGGAGATGCTCATCTACACTCAGCCTCTAGTGTGTACATCCACAGGGATCAGAGATTTAAAACTACGTTGAATTCCTGGGGAGAGAGCTCAGGGACCAGCAGCTCCACCCCTGACTATGCGAAGGGTCCCCCCAAGCCCTTCCCCCCACCTCCAGCACCACCTCGTTCGAGGGAGTGTTTCCTCACGGGGCGGAACATTGACCTGTTCTGCCAAGATGGCCAAATACCATGGAGGGGGGGGGTGCTCCTGTGGCCCCTGACCATGTTTTGGGAGGCCCCTGAAAGATGTTGGCTTCCAGGTGATGCACACTCTCGTACAGTATAGAAGAGATGTACAAGTGGTGTGTGTGTGTGTGTTGTTGTGAATCTTCATGCAATGTGAACGTCCCAGAAACGGCCTTCCTGCTTAGACCATCCACATGCGGCTGCCTGCAGGCTGTGTGGTCACACTCAGAAAGCAGCACAACAACAACAGCAACAACAAAACACACAAAAAAAGAAATGGGTCAGCAGAGAGCTAGGGGGCGAGGAAGGCAGTTCCTTGTCTTTGCACACAACCAGCCCAGCACCACCAGGAGTGATCCCTGAGTGCAGGTAGGAGTCAGGCCTAGGGCCTACAGGGTGTGGCCCCCAAACAAACCTATCTGTACAGCAAACTGTAATGCCCACAAAGGGAGAGGGGGTAGTGGGAGGAGGAGAGGGGGAGGGAGAGGGAGAGGGAGGAAGGGGAAGAGAGAGAGGGGGGAGAGGGAAGGGGAAGGAGGGAGAGAGAGAGGGATTGGGGAGGGAATGAGGGAGGAAAAGTGTCTGCCGTGGAGGCAGGGCCAGAGGGGTGGCAGGAAGGAAGCTGGGGACACTGGTGGTGGGAAATGAGCACTGGTGAAGGGGCGGGTTTTGGAACATTAGATGACTGGAACTCAATCATGAATAACTTCATAACTGTGCATCTCACTGATTCAATTAAAAAGTAAATAAATGTAAAACAGAACCTGTATATGCACTTAACTTTCCACTTCGGGGGCCATAGAACAGTGGCTAGGGGCGCTCTCCTTGCATGCTGCCAGTGCAGGTCCATTCCAATACCCATATGCGCCCCCCCCTCCCCGCCAGAGCACCACCAGCAGTGATGCCTGAGTGCTGAGTCAGGAGTAACCCCTGAGCATCGCTGGGTATGTTCCAAAAACAAACAAAAAAATTCCATTTTAGGGAAACAAAGGATTTTTCTATGTCAGCTGCATTCCACATATTGCAGACACACGCACATTTCCTGAAAACATGTTTGTTTCTCTGAAATCCGCACTTGTTATCCTGCAGTTGGACCTGATGGTCCCTTCCCAGGCCTCCTGCAGAGGAACCTCGGGGCTCGAGAGCGTTCGGGGGTAGAGGGCTTGCCTTGCGTGCGGCAGGCTCCAGATTCAATCCCGGCACCACGTGGTTGTGGCCCCCTGAGCATTGCGGGGTGTAGCCCCCCCACCCAAAAAGGAACTATCCTAAACATCATGTTTGTTTCAGGGGAAGCTCCCACTCAGCGCTGAAGCAGCCCAGGGTCCCTTCCCAGCAATTCAAAACAAGGACCCAAGAATTTGGTGCTTCCCAACCTTGCAGTGCCAGAATTACCCAGGCCACCAGGGGGTGCTCGGGAGCCATACGGTGCCAGGGCTTGAACCAGGGTCAGCCACATAAAAGCAAGTGCCTTAACCCTTGTACTGTCTTTCCAGCGCTGTTGAAAAAGCTTTTTATGGCAACTGTGCTCATTCTGTATAATTTATATACTGGATTAGGGTTTCCAAAAGCCCGTTGTGATGACAGAAATTTAATCTCCTGGGCTGGAATGATAACACAGCGGGTAGGGTGTTTGCCTTGCATGCGGCCATCCTGGGTTCGATTCCCGGCATCCCGTAGGGTCCCCTGAGCACCGCCAAGAGTGATTCCTGAGTGCTGTGAGCCAGGAGTAACCCCTGTGCATCGCTGGGTGTGACCCAAAAAGAAACGAAAATTTAATCTCCTGTGTCTTGCTCTCGGCTCTGGGGTTTCACTCCGCCACTGAAGTGTAATTCTACTTTATACTTCTTGCCACTAACTCATTTTTCCATTGTGCCAGTATTCTAGAACTCAGGTATTGAGTTCCCTGTTGATGGGTGTCTTTGTTATTTCCGAATTGTGTGTGTGAGGGGTCCTTTGAGGACCCAGGGGTCACTGTTGGCCATACTAGGCTCAGAGGTATAGAACAGATGTTTCAGTGCTCAGGTCTGGCAATGCCTGGGGGTGTCCAACTCGTGCAAGTGCATGATCCACCCCTTTGTGGAATCTTCCGGGCCCTGTTTCTAAACATTTTGTTGCCATAAGTAGTGTTGCTATGAAAATCTTTCACCCCGTTCCTTGTGTACAAATACACCCAGGTCCTGGGGGAAATGCTTCTCCAGGATGTATTCAAGGAGTTGAAGTGAGGAGTGATAGGGTAGGGGTATGTGTGTCTTGGAGATAACACTAAATTGTTTTTCCCAAGTGCTTTGCCAGATTCTTTTCTCAGCAGCAGTAGCTGAGAACTTACTCCACGTTTTCACCTGTAGATTCTGCGAATTTTGCCCATCGGGCGGATCCCTGGAATCACACTCTGGTTCTAATTTGAATCGCTCTGATTGCTGAGAGGGTTGAACGTTATTTCTTGTGCTTATTTGCTATTTCTGTTTCCTTTGTGAAAAACGTACACGTGCCTTTTGACTTTGCCCTTTCTCACTGTCACTGTCACTGTCCTCCCATTGTTCATTGATTTGTTCGAGCGGGCCCAGTAATGTCTCTATCATGAGACTTCTTGTTACTGTGTTTGGCATATTGAATACGTCACGGGTAGCTTGCCAGGCTCTGCCATGTGGGCGAGATACTCTCGGTAGCTTGCCCGGCTCTCCGAGAGGGGAGGAGGAATCGAACCCGGGTTAACCAGGTCGGCAGTGTGCAAGGCAAATGCCCTATCTGTTGTGCTAGCGCTCCAGCCCACGCTTTCTCGTGTATATTTATATGGAAGTTTATTGGGTGAAGGGGAGAAGATATTGGGAGAGGGGGCTGGACCACATCTAACAATACCCAGGTACTACTCTTGGCTCTGTGCTCGGGAGTTAGCCATGTTGATGCTCAAGGGACCATATGTGGTGCCGGGGATCAAACCAGGTAACTGCATTTCAAGGCAAGTGCTTTAACCCCTGTGCTATCTCTCCACCCCTTTATATTCCTTTTTTCATCGAGGGAGGGACACACCCGGAGCAGGGGTAACTGCTGGCTCTGCACTCATGAATTACTTCTGATGGTGCTCAGGGGACTATATGGGATGCTGGGGGTCGAACCCAGGTCAGCTACATACAAGGCAAATGCCCTCCCCATATGTTATCGCCCATCCTGTGCCTTTTTGTGGTACTTAAACACCCCTGCTTGTGATACAGCTAGAAATTGCTTGTAGAATGGGGGATGGCAGAACACAGGCTCCCAGCATCAGGCTTAGTTTGTGGGGGGCACCAGAGTTTAAATTCTTGTCCCCATGCTTGCTTGACACGGGCAGCCACTGTGCTGGTCCTTCAGGCCCCAACAGAGGAATTTTTAAAGAACATTCACATACCAGTTTCTTTTTTTTATTTCCATAAGATTGTTCACATTAATTGATGACATTCACTCTTTCAACACCAATCCAACCACCATCACACCTTCCCGCCACCATTATTTTCAGTTTTCCCACTCCTGTTCAAGCCTGCCTGCTAGGGGCAGATGCTAGATATTTATAGCACGCAGCCAATATGGCCAACCCAAGTTCGATTCCTCCGCCCCTCTCGGAGAGCCCGGCAAGCTACCGAGAGTATCTTGCCTGCACGGCAAAGCCTGGCAAGGTCGTGGCGTATTCGATATGCCACACACAGTAACAAGTCTCACAATGTTACTGGGTCCGCTCGAGCAAATCGATGAACAACGGGAGGACAGTGATAGAGACAGTTTATTATGAATATTTCATAAGAGATTGTGCGGCCGCAGAAGCAGCCACACACCTCTGGAATTCTAAAACCGTAAGTGGTTGGGGTCTAGTGACATCTCTGTAGGGCGGTAATCCATTTTGAGATTCATTTGGGAGTCTCTGGATCAAGGCCATTGATGCACTGAGATGGGGCCCGGAGGTAGATCGTGGGCATGACAGCCAGAACCCCGAGCGGGCGGGGAGATGGGGAGGGACAGCCCATCTCCACTGCCACCATGTGGCCTCCGTTCTTAGTCCCTGAACCCGCATACCTGGGTTTTGCTTCTGGAAACTTGTGGCCATCGGGGTTTCATCTGGTGTGGGCAGAGAGGGCACAGCTGCTCCATCTGAGGTATCCCTGTGGAATGGCTCGGTACAGGGTCTGGAGAGACTTCCAGCGAGCTGCCATCTTCCAGGATTCACTGCTGAGCCTCCCCTAGTTTCTTGTTTTAGGTGTCAGACATCTCTCCTTTCAGTGTATTGCCTTTTCGCTTTCTTTGCTTTTTTTTTGTGCTCGCACCCGGTGATGCTCAGGACTGAACTCCTGGCGGGGCTCAGGGACTGTCTGCAGTGCAGGGATTGAACCGGGTTGGACGCATGCAAAGCGAACGTCTTCCCCACTGGACTGGCTCTCCGTCCCAGTCTTTTTGCTTTCTTTTAAGACAGCCTTTGATGAGTAAACATTCTTCAGTGTTGTTGATTTCATAACTCTTCTTGGATTGCTGGCAATTTCCCCTTTGTTGTCGTGTTTATGGGAGTCGCAAACTTCCCTCGTGGGGTCTGTGCGCCCCTGGTGTGGTGTGACGGAGCTCATCCTCTTTGCTGTGGTCTTGGGGACCCCAGAGAGCAGTGCCACTATGATCCCATTTGGAACGTGGGATGGAGCCTGCAGCCCCAGGCTCACAGGGTAGATCGATGCTCTCCCTCTGAGCTACACCCGCAGGCACAGTGCTGGGGGTCTCTGGTGTGGCCCCTGGCAATGCGCCAATGACCAGGAAGTGCCATGAAGTATCTGTGTGGAGCAATAGTACAGCGGGAAGGGCGTTTGCCGTGCTATCCCTCCAGCCCCACTTCCCCAACCCCCATATAAAATACTATTTTTAAAAAATGGAATCACTGTGAGATATGCAGTTACAAAGTTGTTCATGATTGGCTTTCAGTCATATAATGTTCCAGCACCCATCCCTCCACCAGTGTACATTTCCCACCACCAGTGTCCTCAGTTTCCCTCCTATCTCTACAGCAGGTGCGCATTCTCTTTCTCTCTCTCTCTCTCTCTCTCTCTCTCTCTCTCTCTCTCTCTCTCTCTCCCTCTCCTCTCTCCTCTCTCCCCTTTTGGCCATTGTGGTTTGCAATACAGATACTGAAAGACCATTGTGTTTATCCCTTTACCCATGTTTAAGCAATTCTTGTCCAGAGTGATCATTTCCAACTATTATTGTCATACTGGCCCCTTCTCTAGCTTAACGACCCTCTGCCCTTCACACAGTAATCCTTTTTTAAAAAAAGAAATTGTGTGTGGGGGGGGGGGGTACTAGAGATGGACCCCAGGACCTCACCCGTGCAAGACCAGGCCTCTCCCGCTACGTGCCACCCCTGGCCCTGCCAACATGCTTCCACACTGTGTGATTGCCCCCAGTGGAGGCCGAGTGTCTGCGTCTTGCTGCACAGAGCCCCTCGGCCTTACCCAGCTGGGGGGAGCCAGCTGAGGAGGGTTGCCTTCCCGTGCATCTGTCTCGGGCGGATTTGTCCACGGTGTGATGTGTCTTTTCAGAGCCTTTCAACGTCGGCGGAATTGTGGGGACAATCGTGAGCCTTCTGCTCCTGGGGCTGGCCGTTTTCGCAGGGCTGATGCTGTATTACAGCCCTGGGTTTTGCTGGAAAGGTATGAACTGGAGGGGAGGGTTGGGGGGCTCTTGTCTTCTCTGTTGGGCTTCCTGAAAGCATGTGGCTGGGGGAGGGTCCTCTGATTTGCTCCCACCTGCCCTCCCATTCTGTGGGCTTCTCCGTTGAGCCCAGGGTGCCACAAGGTAACCCTGAGTGGCCACATCACTCGGGGCGGGATCGTGATCCTTTCGCCCCCTTTTGTCCATACGAGATGGGTTACGAACTCTGAGCTTCTTAGCAGATAACTAATTTTTCCCCCTTTCTCCCTGCAGTAGGAAACACTTTCAGGTGAGTGTCCTCGAACGCAGACGTTCCCGTTCTCTCCACTGCTGAAGAACCATCGTAGGCGCTACCGTGGAAGCCCCACTCTCTGCCCAGCGCGGGCCCGGCAGCTTCCCTAGGAAGCATAGAAAGTTTCCTTTAAACTCCTTGGATGACGCTTGGCACCTCCGCTCTCCAGACCAGGAGAGGGAGGTGCGGGGAAGCGCCCTCCATGGTTCCTGCGGAGTAAGCCGCGGGCTCCACACCAGCCCCAGGTTTTCAAAGCTGTTCCCTTTGCCTTACCTGGGGCCTGTGTTCTCTTTATCATGCCAGCCTCATAAGGCTCAGGCTCATTGCTGAGGGCTGCCAGGTATCAAGACTGGTACAAACTAGCCCTTTATTTCTGCCTTGGCCTTATCGAACATTCCAGAAAGGGCTAACGGGAAGAGTAAAGCACTGCCTTCCCGGCTGTCCTTGGAGGCCAGACTGAGCATGCGCAGAAGTCCCTCTTCCCCCCAGGGCACTGCAGTAAGAACTCGTCTCTGTCACTTCCTAAGGAAATTTCAGAAAAAGGTAGAGACCTCTGTCAGGATTCTGTGCAGATTCTCTTGGGCCGTGCATGTGGTACAAGTTATAGAGCACATGCCTGGCATATGGGAGGCCTTGGGTCTGATCCCTGGCACCAGGAACCTTCTTTTCCCAAACGGCACTGGGAGTGACCCAGACCGCTCCCCACACCCACAACTAACCCCCTCCCCCCAAAAAAAGAAAAAGAAAGTTTGAGTTTTAATTTGTTAATGGAACACACCTGGCACTACTTAGGGGTTTTACTCCTGGCTCTGCACTCAGAAATCACTCCTGGCGGTGCTTGGGGGACCAGATGGGATGCCAGGAATTGAAACTGGATTGGCTGCCTCTAAGGAAAAACTCCTTGCCCACTGCACTATCTCTCTGGCCCTCGGAGACTGATAGCAATGCAAATTCTTGGAACTACTTCTGGTTCCCTGAGCCCTGCCCCAGGTCACCTGGGGCACAGAGCCAAGAACAGCCCTGAGATATTGGGTGTAGTCCCCAACCCCCCCTCAAGAGGCAGGGAAATGTACCAACAGACCTGGAGGGGGCGCACGTGGTGGACACATGCTGGACCCAAGTCTGGTCTCCAGCTCTCTGCGGCCCCTATTTTTTTTTTTTTTACTTTTTGGGTCACACCCGGACATGCACAGGCCTTCCTCCTAGCTCTGCACTCAGGAATTACTCCTGGCAGTGCTCGGGGGACCAGATGGGATGCTGGGAATCGAACCCGGGTTGGCCGCGTGCAAGGCACACGCCCTCCCCGCTGTGCTATCGCTCCAGCCCCGCGGCCCCTGTTTAAAAAGAGAAAAAGACCCCAGGTAGCAGCAGAGCATCTGGCCTGGTGGAGAGAAGCAGGAATGATTGGCAAGCACATTCCATGCAGAAGCCCCCGGCTCCAAACTCAGCGGTGGTCCTGGGCCCGGAGTCAGGAGAAGGGGGAGGAGAATAGAGATGTTGGTAGAGCAGAAGTAGGGGCCCTTCAGGAGCCAGACCCCGGGAGGGGGGATCTGTGAGGAGATTGGAAGGGGTCACAGTGGGGCCCCATGAGATCAGGCGCAGAGACTGGGGAGGAAGAATCACAGTCAGCCGGTGCCGCCCAGGGTTGTCTTTTTCTCTCTGTTTTGCGGAGGCCAGAACCAGGGTGCTATTGGGCTGCTCCCGTGGGGTTCTGGGGAACCGTGTGGGGTTGGGGGTCGGACCCGGGCTCCCCTCCAGCCCTCTCCGAGCCACGGTAGCTCTCCTGGAAGCAGCGTGGCTCGAATTCTTCCGGGAACGGCTCAGCTGCTTTTCCCCCAGGCTGAGAGCACAGTAGAACATTCCAGATGGCCAAGGGTCAGGTGGTGTTTCCTGCCCAGGGCGGGCTGCCGTCCAGGAACCAGGGCATCTCCTTGATTCTCTGTCCCCCTCTGGAAACCAGGAGCCAGGACGTGGGTGACGTCATGGTGCTGGTGGACTCGGAAGAGGAAGAGATGGAGCAGGAGGAGGACGGCGCCGCCGTGGCGATCGAGGACGAGGAGGAGGAGAGGGACGAGGGGGAAGAGCTACCCAGGGAAGTCCACAAGCACTGCCACATCCACAGAGTGACCGCCCTGGTGAACGGGAACCTGGAGCAGATGGCCAACGGCCTGCAGCCTCTGCAAGGTCAGCCCTTCCCCACCCAGGCCCTCGCTTTTCCGCCTTTCCGGCGACAGATGTCACAGAGTCCAGCTGGGGCCTTTGCAGAGGCCCCTCGGGAAGGCTGGTTCAAGCTGAATCAACACCCGAGCTCCCAACACACCTGTGGACGACAAACAACCCCCTAGAACACCAATAACGCTCTTGAAATCACCAAGAAAAAGAACAGGTGGCACAACCTGTGGGGAGCAGCTCGCTTGGGCCCCTTTGGGTGGGTCAGGACGGCATCCAGGTTGTCCTGAACCTGAAGGGCCCAGGACTGGAGCTGCGACCGGGAGGGATTTGATGAGCGGCCTGAGGGGGGATTTGGAGGAAGCTCCGGATTCCAGGCCTGGGTCAGGGCTTCTGCCTCGGTGGGGAGGTTTACGGGAGAAGGAAGAGAAGGAGGCAAGATACTTTTTATTGGAACTGACTTAGAAAGACGGGCTTGAGCGATAGCACAGCGGGTAGGGCATTTGCCTTGCACGCGGCTGACCTGGGTTCGATCCCCGGCATCCCATAGGGTCCCCTGAGCACCGCCAGGAGTCATTCCTGAGTGTAGCGCCAGGAGGAACCCCTGAGCATTGCTGGGTGTGATCCAGCACCCTCATCCCCGGGAAACCCAATTTCAAGGCTTAAGAGGATTTTTTTTTCATTGTTTTTGGGTCACACCCGGCAATGCACAGGGGTTCCTCCTGGCTCTGGACTCAGGAATGACTCCTGGTGGTGCTTGGGGGACTCTGTGGGATGCTGGGAATTGAACCCGGGCAGCCGCGTGCAAGGCAAGGCAAACGCCCTCCCCGCTGTGCTATCGCTCCCCAAGGCTTAAGAGGATTCTAATTCAAGGTGGGTGCGGGCTGATGGCGGCTGAGGTCACAGGCCACATCCTCCTCTCTCTCCTGTGCAGACGACATCAGTGAGCAGCAGCGTGAACCTGTTCAAGAGGACGACGGGCCCGTGTGACGACCCGCGGCCCTTCCCCGTCCTGTCAGTCAAGCGCTGCTTCGATTTGATCTGCACCCCGCTCTGAGAACTTCGAATACTTTGGGACTCTCAGTCGAAGGAGAAACACACACACACACACACACACACACACACACACACACATCACACACCCCCATTCCTTTTTAAACGTCATGGTTTTGCTCTCCTCACGAAGCTTTGAGGGTTGGGCTGTGTGGGGAGGAGGAGGGATTTAGCGACCCCCCTTGCGGGGATCCTGCAAGGTTCACCCTTGAAGCTCATGCCCATCTGGAGGGTGCAGAAGTGGGCCCCAGTGCCACTGTTAGGGGTCTGGGACCACCTTGCCTCGCCGCAGGGATCGGTGTGCCTGAGAGGGGGGCCCGTTTCCTCCTGCACCGTGAGCCGAGGAGCTGGACAGCCGGTGGCCTCTGTAGAAGGGGAGTGGCCGCTCCCCAGGCCAGCCAGTGGGAGGCAGGTGGCCTCAGGTTTGGGGCTCCTGAGTGCATGGCGTCAGAGCCTGGTGCTTATTCCTGGGCGAGAGCTCTGCCAGGCTGGTGAGGACAGAGGGACACCCGGGGGTGGGGGTAGTGGGGGGGGGTGGCAAGACGCTGCCTGGTGTGGGGGTTGCCAGCATCCCCCTCCCTTCGCTGTAGATGCTGTTCCCTCTTCCAAAGAGGAGGGGGCCTGTCCGCAGCCCCTCCCGTTCGCCAGAGCTTCCACTTGATTCCAAAGGCTTCCTCGGAGGGGGCGCGTCAGCCTTTCCCGCCTGGCCGGTGCCCATTCGTGGCTTTCCTAGCAGGTGGGGAGCACTTCCACCCCGGGGCCTGGTGCTCCGGCTGACCCCCCAGTGGCCTCGGTCCCCGCCCCACCCCGCCCACGAGGCCACCCCATCCAGCTGGCCACACCAAGGAGCCAAGACAGAGAGGGCCAGTGGGGGCCGCAGGCACGTCGCCCTCCAATGCAGCCACATCTCCGCAAGGTCAGGGCCCCGATAAGGAGGTGGACGCTGTGTGCCGACCTTGACCACGTGGCTTGACCTTGCATTCCCCAGCGTCCCTGCGCCTGCTCCAGGGACGAGGATGGCCGCTGCTCAGAGCAGAAGCTAGCGGTCCCCTCTGAAGAGCTGAGACGGACGAGGTCATTTCATTGGGACAAGGGGAGGGTGGTCTCGCCCATCTCTGAGCCAGCCCAGCGCACAAGGGGGTGGGCAGGAGCTGATGGCACCCCACCCCACTGCCTCAGCCCCTCTCTGCACTCTGAGGCAGCGCCGGTTCCAAACGAGAACGACGGAGGCTTTAAAAGTCCCCGACTGCTGATGTCTGTTGCTCCTCGTCAGAATCTTTTAGGAGGGAGTTCCTGGATGGGAGTCCTCTCTGCCAAGGAACTTTTTTTTTTTCCTCAAAAACACCGAAATGGAGCCTGTGAGGGGATGGAGTGACGGTCGAGCGGGGAGGTCCCTGGCCTTGCACGCAGCTGACCTGGGTTTGCTCCCCGCCAGGTGTGAGCCAAAAACAAAAAACAACAAAAAAACGGGGCGAAGCGCCAGCATGTGGCCGACCCTGGCCTGGTCCCCTGAGCAGATTTGGGGGTCCCCAGGTATCCACAGCACTGCAGGGGCTGGGCCGCACCCAGCCTCAGACCCTTGCACTGAACTGCCCTGTTGACTGAGAATTGCCAGGCGGGATCCCAGGGATGACCCACGTGGGAACCTCCCCCCAAAGAAAAACTAGGGCTGGGGGGACCTGTGAGGTGCTTTCCAGAGGGCAGCTTCTCACAGTCCACTGACAGATCGGGGAGAGCCTTGAGCTGGGTCCCGAGGAGAAAGAGGGGCGCCACCCTCTCCCACTGCCTGCGGGGAACTAACCCCTCACCTGCTCTGTTATCTGTGATGCGTACACTTCTGACCCAGCCCAGCTACCTGAGGAGGGTTCAGGATTTTCCCTGAAGTATTCAGGGCTCCCTCTCGTTTCTTTTTTTTTTTCTTTTGGGTCATACCCAGCGATGCTCAGGGGTTCCTTCTGGCTCATGCACTCAGGAATTATTCCTGGCGGTGCTCGGGGGCCCCTATGGGATGCTGGGAATCGAACCTGGGTCGGCCACGTGCAAGGCAGACGCCCTCCCCGCTGTGCTATTGCTCCAGCCCCTCCCTCTCATTTCTTGAAGACAGACCATCCCCCAGTCCACAAATAGTTGACCGAGTGTTCCAGATTGAGGGTGGCAAAGTCCAACTTGGTCCCTGTGCTTTTATCTGAATGTATTGTAAACTCCCAGGCCGCAGATGGGCCTCTGGGGGTCAGGGGGACACTCTCCAGGGGCCTCCCCGGAAGCTGGGGAAGGGGCACCCATTTGAGCACCCACAAGCACACGGGCCCTAGGATTGCTTCAGGAAAACACGGGAAATTTCAACAGTCCATGCACCAGGACCTGATTTCAAAGCCATCCGCGGGGCGGGGAGAATTGGTTGTGATGCAACAGGTGCCAACCTGGATCCTGAGTGTCCGCCCGGCCTTCCCCAGCAAGCTCTGAGCAGCCTCACTCACTCCCCTTTGCTGTTTGGCCAGTGGAGCGGGTTCAGGAGACTGTTCTGAGGTTATACAATTGTGTTTGTTTCTTTTTTTAAGATGATGGAATAAAGTTATTTTTAAATAAATGCTCTAGTGATCTTAATTTAGACCTGCTTAGTAAACAGAAAGCTTTGGAGAGGTGTTTTTTGTTTTGTTTGCTTTTTGGGTCACACCCAGTGGTGCTCAGGAGTCACTCCTGGCTCATGCACTCAGGAATCACTCCTGGCGGTGCTCGGGGGACCAGATGGGATGCTGGGAATGAACCTGGGTGGACCGCTTGCAAGGCAAAGACCCCGCCCTGCCCGCTGTGCTGTTGCTCCAGCCCCGCCTGGCCCTTTTTCATCTGGCACGATCCCCAATGTTCACCTGGCCTTTCCCTTCTGATCGAAAACACCACCCAGCTGATGCTTCCCTGGACCCTTCCACTTGGACCATCAGCTGCAGGCTGAGAGGGGCCCTGAGCCCCCCACCTTTGTTGTAACAACGAGCTCTGCTCCTGCCCTCACCTCCCCGTTTCTCCTTCGCTCTTTCTCGCCCCAGTTCCCCAGACCCCGGCGTCTTCGGGCCCCCGTCCTTATTCCCCAGGCTTCTCTCCGCCAGGTCCCCGTCTCCGCTCCGCTCCTCCCCCTCCTCCCCGCCACTAGGTTGGCTCGGACCGACACACCGGGCGGGCGGCCCCACCCTGTCTGCTCTCGCCCACCCTCACCTGAGCCCCGAGTTCGCTCGGCACCTCCCCGCTCACCATCCTCGCCGTGTACCTCTGCGACCCCCCGCACCCACCCCCATCAACATCAGGGCCCAGCTCTCACCTCCCGGACCCCTCGCCCAGCTTTATCCCTTAGTGGCCTTCACTTGACACCGCACCGCTTCCGACCCGGCCCCGGCCCCGCGTCCGCGCTCCCCCGCGCCCCCCGTTAGCTCCAGCCCTTTCCTCCCGGTTGCATCCAGGCTGCGTCCCCCCTCCCCGCCTCGCGTCTCCGCACCCGCATTCGGGCGGGGCCGAGTCCTCCGCCCCTGGCCCGCAGCCCCGCAGCCCCGCAGCGCGGCCCCCTCCCCGCACCCTGTCCCACCGCCCCTTGTCCGCGCTCCCGAGGCGCGGTCCGCCCTCCCCGCACCCCCAGTCCGACCCCGTCCGAGTCCCCCGCCCCCTCCCCCCGCAGCCCCTCACTCCCGCTCCCGGGTCGCTCCCCCGCCCCCCACCCGAGCCTGTCCGCGTCCCGCTCCCGTCCCCGCGCCCCCGGACCCCTCGACCCCGCACACTCCTTTTGTCCGTGTCCCCGCTCCGCTCCCTGCCCGCCCTCAGCCCGCCCCTCCATCGCACCCCGCCCGCACCGCGGCCGGCTCCCGCTGCGGACCCGGCTCCCACCAACCCACCCCTCTTCGGACCCCGCCCGCGGCCCCGCCCCGCCCCGCCCTCGCCCGCCCCGCCCCGCCCCGCCCCGGCCCGCCCGCCGCGCGCCACGTGACGGGAAGCAGCTGATGCGTCTCCCGGCGGGCGCGGGGGCCGGGGCCGGGGCGGGCGCGGGCGCGGGCGCGGGGGCGGCATGAGGGGCCGCGGCCCGGGGGGCTGAGCGCCCGCCGCTGCGGGCCCGCGCGCGTCCTCATGGAGGCCGGAGGTGAGTGGCCGCGTCCCCGCGCGCCGCTTTGTTTCGCTTTCGCGCGCCGGCCGGCGCGGAGGGCGGGCGGGCCTCGGGGCGGGGGGCGGCGGGACCCCGCACGCGCGCCCGGGACGCGTGGGGGACGCGGCGGCGCTGCCCGCCCTCGCCGGCCCGCGGGCCCGGGGCGGGGGCGGGTGGGCTGGGCGCCGCGGCCGAGCCCCGGCCCCCTCCCCCCGCTCGGCGCCCCCCGCGGGGCGTGTCGCAGAAGGGGCTGTTGCGGGGCGCCGCCTCCGTCGGCGGCGGGAGCCCCCGCCCCGGAGCGCGCGTTGCCAGGAGCGGGGTCGGGGTCCCCGGGAAACCAGACGGGCCGGAGCGGCCCCCGGCGGAGGCGCGTGCGGGGGAGCGGGGGAGCGGGGTGGGGCCTGCGGGACCCCCTGGGCCCGGCGCGGGGGCGAGCGGGGACCCCGCCGGGGAGGCGCTCGCGTCCGGCCGCGGGAACGGCAGGAAACGGAACCGCGGGGATGGACGTCCTGGGGGGCCGCTTGGGCCGAGGCCGCGGGCCGGGACCCCCTCCCCGGGCCGCAGTGCGCGGGGAGCGGGCAGGGCAAGGGAGGCCGGCGCGGGGCACGCGGCAGGTCAAGGCCAGGGCTCCGGATTTGGGCCGTTTTGTGCTCTTCCAGCCGGCGGGCGGCTCCGGGGGGTCCCGCGCAGCGTGTCCCCGGGGCCCTGTAACTTTCTGATTCGGAAAAGGCGCCGCTTTGTTTGCTGGGGGCTCTCCGGCCCTCCGCCCTCCCACCCAGACAAGGCCTTTCTTCCCAGCCCCTGGACGCCCCTTCCACACGGCCCCTGCTGTTGGCTGAACCCGATCCGAGTCTTTTTATAGCTTCCGCTGCTGTTTCTGGGGAGCGGAATCCGCCGGCGAGGCCGGCCCGCCGCCCCGGGTAGCAGGAATGTTTCCAGGCCTCCGTTCCTCCCGGCCATGGGTGGCTGTGTTTTGGGGTGTGGGCAGAAATCTTAAGGGTTGCCCAGCGACTGTTCGGGAAAATGGGGTGGGGTTGGGGGAGCAGAATATTAACCTTCCGTGGAAATAGAACAAAGCCCATTGTAATGGGACCACAATGGGCCGCAGTAGGCAGCTTCAAAGCCGCCTTCGAATGCTTTGAGGCAGCCAACGAATATTTATTGAGTGACATCTCGCTGCCTGTTGGCCCCAGTGGCCAGTACTGAAGCAGCCACCAATACGCTATGAAGTGCTGTAGCAGATGGGGGCTGGACCGATGACAGGAGGTCGGGCGCTTGCCTTGCACATGGCTGGCCTGGGTTGGGTCCCCAGCACCAAAGATGGTTTCCCAAGTCCCACCAGGAGTGATCCCTGAGCGCAGATCCTGGACTGAGCCCTGAGCCCTTCTGGGTGTGGCACCTCCGAAAATGTTGTAGCTATATTCGGAAACAGATGAAACCAATCCCAAAGTGATCTCTGCCCCTTGGCATACCTGAAATACTTCAGCATGTCTTCAGCTAAAAAATGACTGAGATATTTTACATATCGCTCTTCTTTTTCCTGTTTGGTACTGAGTCCTGAAGTTCCGTATCACCTATCACGTGCCCCTTCTGATCTGGACTTAGCCAGAGTTCAAGGATGAGGAGCCACGTGTGGTTCGTGGGGACAGCATGGGACGGGCGCAGCCCGGGAGCAGTGAGTGGCTGGACAAACGGGTCGGGGGCTGGGGGTAGAAATGGACCGTAAATAAGGACAAACCAGCCAGTGGTCAGACACTGTGTTGTCTGGTTAGAAAGGAAGTGGAAAAGCTGGACTGGGAAGGGCCAGGGCTGCTGTGGCCAGCGAGACGAGATCGGTGTCTGGGAAGGTGACCTGGACTGGGGCCAAGCGGAGAACTCGGGGTCCAGCCAGAGTTTTCCAGGCTAAGGGCACGGCCGGGTGCAGATCCTGTCGTCTGCCACATAGCTCCAATATCCTTCCATGGGAGAGGCCTACCTGGTACCTCCTAGCTGCCTGCAAGTCCACCCCATCCCCTACTAGACCATGGGCCCCTGTCAGGGTCACGTGCCCTCCCACTGGAAGCTGTATCGTTTCATCCTTTCCGCTGATGGCCTTTGAGGCATGGGGGCAGTGGTTTTTGTTGTTCTCACATGTCCCAGGTCCACGCTGCTTTCCTGATAGCCCGTTGGGAATCCTTGTGGTCTAGAGATGAAGAGATGGCCTTTGGCCCCTGGTCGCCTAGCTGGAAGCAGTGAGAGAGGAGACCCCCGTCCAGTCTCAGGCTGGAACTCTGGACCTGCCTAGATTGTCCCACTGGGGAATAAGTTCATGGTCCCCTTTGCCCCAGGATTGGACCCCCACCTGGCGGGACACGCACTGCTAAGTGGTAAGAAAATCAAGTGACAGGCCATGAACGCGTTGGGCGGTCAGCTGGACAAAGTCCTGGCGGCTGATCCCCAATAGAGGTGTGGCCGGAGGCACGGGGAGGAGAGAAAGATCCCCAGTGATTGACCCTAGGGCTGAAGGCAGGGGGAGGAGCCCGAAGGAAAGGGGGTGGGGCCCAAAGGAAAGGGGGTGGGGCCCGAAGGCAAGGGGGTGGAGCCTGCGTTTGGTTTTTAAGAGAGATGGCAGTCCGTCCTGGAAGGGCTGACCTGACCAGGACCGGTGGGAAGGCGGGGTCCCAGCTGGAAGACTGCTCATAAGGCAGAGAAGGGAGGAGATGGAGCCCTGCAGAGAGAGCAGGCAGGGCCACATGGCAGAGCCTTCTGGAAGCAGACTCGCTAGATGTAGATGTGGCTGGGGAGGTGGCCATCTGGAGGATACTTGTTGTCCGTGGCGGAGGAAGGGGACTTGGGGTGAATGCTATGGAAATGGAATAAAGAAGTCTTCGTCGTGGACGGAAATGTCTCTTCCGGGTCATCAACAGTTACCCTTGGCCCAGTGGCTGTTGTCAGTCACTGTCGGATTTTCAGTGACATTTGGGCTGATGATTTTTTATTGGGAACTCCGCGGGGAGGGGCTGTTCTGGGCTCTGTAGAACGTTGAGCACCGTCAGTGGCCTTTCCCGTTAGATACTATTGACACCACCACCCGGGATGCCACCTCCTGCAGCCACATGTCTTGGAGTCTGTAGGGCACCAGCCCCCTCACTGAGAACTACGACAGGTGTTCAGAGCTGAGGGCTGTCACCATTGCAAAGTAGAAAATGTTTAGAAAGGATGAGGGTGGGGAGACACCCAGGGGGTTCAGCGCTCACCTTGCACTCAGCCAGCCCCGGTTTGATCCGTGGCACTGCATCTGATGCCCCGAGCCCTACCAGGTGCGATCCCTGAGCACAGAGCCAAGAGTAAGCCCTCGACACCACCCGGCTGAACAGAAAAGTTCTTAAATCTCAGGGGGAGGGACTGGAGTGACAGCGCAGCGGGTAGGGTGTTTGCGACCGACCCGGGTTCGATTCCCAACATCCCATATGGTGCCCCGAGCACTGCCAGGAGTGATTCCTAAGTGCATGAGCCAGGAGTAACCCCTGAGCATCGCCGGGTGTGACCCAAAAAGCCAAAAAAAATTTACATATCTCAGGGGGATCCAGGACTCAAACCAAGGGGGGCCTGTGTTACCCCCCCACCCCGAGCTCACCCCAGACCCCCTAAGTTTGGAGTTTGCAAAGCCACCGAAGGCTGGATGAGCCTCACTACAGGTCCCCTGTGGGCCAGTGTCAGCTCACCCTGCCTTCCAGGATGTCCTGTGGCGCTTCCCTTAACGCAGCCCGCGCTGCCCTCTGTCCGGTGTGTGTGTGTCTGTGTCTGTGTCTGTGTCTGTGTCACTGGACGTGGCACTGTGGATCGTGTCGCCCGCCCCGTGAGTCACGGAGGGAAAGCGCTCCCTGACTCAGGGAGGTCAGATGTGAGCGGAACCCTCAAGACCCGCACCCAGCTATCCGTGAGGTGCTGGCTGTTTCCTAGGCCTCTGCTAACTGCTGTGCGAGACTGAAGAACTGGGCTCTCCGTGGGCTGTCGCTCTGCAAGGAGTGTCTGGATGCTCTGTGTTTCTGCTTCCCCGGGAATCCGCTCATCAGAGAGGCTGGGGGGAAGGTCTCCAGCAGGAGGAAGTGGGGAGCGAGAGGCCAGATTCGCGGGTGCAAGCGGGAGGAAGGGGGAGCAGGTCCCACATCTCTGCCGGGTGATGGGGGGTGTAGGAGGGGCGGTCGGTGCTTTGGCTTCAGCGCTGTTTCCCAGCCGGCTCAGCTCTGCAGGCTGCTCTGCCCCATGGGGCCCTCCCCAGGCCCCCGCCGACGGGTTTCACCTGCCCCCCCACCCCACACACACACCCCGCTTCCTCTGACTCACGGTTCACCAGGTTCACCATGGGGAGTGCCAAGACTGAGTCAGCACCCTGGAATGTGGCCTGTGGCCAAGGTGACTGCCCCCTGGGCACTTAAATGACACTTCCTTCCCGTTGGTGGCACGAGTCCCTGGGGAGACTGGCCCGGGGTGGGGTGCGACGTGGATGCCCCCGCGTGTGACGCCGCCATGCCCTCTTCCCCCCCAGAGGAGCCGCTGCTGCTGGCCGAGCTCAAGCCCGGGCGCCCACACCAGTTTGACTGGAAGTCCAGCTGCGAGACCTGGAGCGTGGCCTTCTCCCCCGACGGCTGCTGGTTCGCCTGGTCCCAGGGCCACTGCATCGTCAAGCTCATCCCCTGGCCGCTCGAGGAGCATTTGTAAGTGTGCTCGGCACCCCCCCCCTCGGGGCACCCTGCCCACGATCTCAGCTGGAGAAGGCTGAGCAGATCAGGCACTGGGGCCGTCCGCACCCCGCTTTCTGGCTCTCTCAAAGTGGGTTTTGTGGTCCTGTGGGAATTGGCTTGTGAAATTCTCTTCTATTTGTTGAGATAGCATTTCTGTGGCCCGCAGTTGTCCTGTTGCAGGTATGTGGTCCGTGGCCACAGCAACAGTACAGCGGTTAAGGTGCTTTTCTTGCATCCACCATCCCCGGTTCGAATCCTGGTACCACCAGGAGTGATTCCTGAGCAAGGAGGACACCCGGGCCACCCCCGGGTGTGGCCCCAGACAGTGGACAGTTGAGGACCAGGGGAGAACACAGGAGCCAGGGCACCGGCCTCGCATCCCGCCCACCCAGTTTGATCCCCTGCACTGTCTCGAGTCTCCCCGAACACCGCTGGGTGAGGTGCCCACGTCTCAAGGAGTGTGTAGGCCCGCGCCCTTCGTCTAGTTAGAGCCGTGCGACTGTCACCGTGGTCCCCGCTAGCACGTTTCTGTTGGGGGCACACCTAGCAGTGCTGGGGCTTGGAGGCTGCTCCCTGGCCGTGCTCGAGGGACCATGTGGTGGTGGGGATGGAAGCCCAGCCTGCTGCTTGCGAACCTTTGCACTTAAACGCTGTGCTTTCTCTCCCCGGGCCCCGGGAACATTCCATAATCCCGTGCTGCGTCCTCCAGACCCCTTGACCCTCAAGCACGGAGCAGAGCAGTCTCTAATCTCCTTCCCAGCACTACACATTAGTTTTGTGTGTGTGTGTGGGGGGGGTTGCTGTGGTTAGGCAGTGCGTTGAGTCTGGAGTTCGAACCCTGAACCTCATACATGCTGGGCCTGTGTCCTACCTCAGGCTTGCCCATTGGGCTTCTTCCCTCAGCAGGGTACCAGACTGAGGCGAGTGCTCACTTGTGCCCCCTGGCGGGGAGGTGTGAGGATGGCGCGTCCCGTCAGTTCGTGTCCCAGCAGCGGGACTCTGGGCTCCTCTTTGGCCGGTACCCGTCCTGCTGAGCAGATGTTCACTCACACGCTTTCGGGCAGACTCTTGTCTTCTCTGCGTTGTGTTTTTGGGGCCACACCTAGCAGTACTCAGGACTGCTCTTGGCCTGGTGCGTGAGGGTCATACTCTGGGGTGCTGCCATGTACTCCAAGGCCCCTGTGTGCAGTTCATGTGCCACTCCCGACCTTAGAGCCCCCTCCCGGTCCTTTGTCTTTTGGTTTTCTTTTCCTTTTGGGGCTACACCTGGTGCTGCTCAAGCCTAACTCCCGGCCCTTTGCTCTGCGGTCACTCCTGGCGGGACTCGGGGCCCTATGGGGGGGGCAGGGGCTCGAATCCAGGTCAGCCGTGTACGAAGCTTGTATTCTATTCTATCCATGAAGCTTGTATTCTATCTAGTATCTCTCTGGACCTTTTTTTTCGGGGGGGGTCATACCTGGCGATGTTCAGGGGTTACTCCTGGCTCTGCTCTCAGGAATTACTCCTGGCAGTGCTCAGGGGACCATATGGGATGCTGGGAATTGAACCCAGTTGGCTGCATGCAAGGCAAACGCCCTACCTGCTGTACTATTGCTCGAACCCCTCTCTGGACATCGGACATTTTTTTTTAAATTTTTATTAGTGAAACACCATGAGGTACAGTTGTAGACTTACAGATTTTTGTGCTTGGGTTTCAGTTATACAATGATCAAGTACCCATCCCTCCACCAGTGCCCATTCTCCACCACCACTGATCCCAGTATCCCTCCCACCCCCCATCCCCCCACCCCACCCCGCCTCTGTGACAGGGCATTCCCTTCTGTTCTCTCTCTCCTTTTGGGTGCTGTGGTTTGCAAAAGAGGCATTGAGTGCCAATCATGTTTGGTCTATAGTCTACTTTCAGCATGTATCTCCCATCCTGGGAGGATCCTCCCAACACCCTTCATTTGGTGCTCCCTTCTCTATCTGAGCTGCCTTTTTCCCTAGCATGTGTGGCTGGCCTCCATGCCATGGAGCAAAATTCCTGGTACTAATCTCGGCCACTCTTGGGTATTACGGACATTGGACATTTTTATCCTTTATTTTTTTCTTTTAAATTTTGCACCTTACCTGGACAGTGCTCAGGGCTTCCTTCTGGCTCTGTACTCGGTCACTAATGGTGCTGCTCAGGGCACCTTCCCCAGTGCCAGGGATCTAACTGGGTTTGGCCCCTTGGGAAGCAAACACCTTACCCACTGAACTGTCTCCAGAGCTGTTTGTGTAATAATCCGGAGAACAGTGGTCAGATTTCCAAAGTGGCTGCCCCATTCGGCAATGCCACCAGCCAGACAAGGTCTCCAACACGTTCCCTCGCCAGCCCTGGTCGTGTGTGCCCGCAGTCAGGATTCTCACTTCCTCAGTGTTCCACTTAATGATAAGGTCAAGTCCTGTTCTGAATACAAAGGATCAAGGTCAAGTCCTGTTCTGAATACAAAGGATCCCACTTTTTTTTTTGGGGGGGTCACACCCGGCAGTTGCCTTCTTGGGCTGTTTTTGGCTTCCGCCGGGCTGTTCTCCCGGTGTCACGTGGTGTTTGCTCCTGACCCTCAGGTTGAGCCGCTTTTCAGGTGCTGATGGGCCCTGGGTGTGTTACTGGGAAAATGTCTGTCTGGATTCGCCTAATCGGGCATTTGCCTACATTATTATGGACCAAGTTTAGCTTCCCGCATATGCAGTTTTCCTTTCTTTGAATGCTGGGAGGCTCCATCTCCCCAGGCCACTTCACACCCATGCTCGGTGGTAGGGAGCAAGTTAACAGCTTACAGTGCAAAAAAAAAATCATTTTTGCCTGACACTAAGCTTAGGCCGGAGACTTGTGATAAATCCAGTGGGCCTTGCTTTTTTGTTTTGTTTTGTTTTGTTTCAGGGTGTTTTGAGGTCACACCGGTGGTGCCTGGGAGCTTGACCCTGGCTCTGGGCTCAGAGTTCACTCCTGGGGGTGTTCGGGACCCTGTGGGGTGCCGTAGCAAGCAGCAGGGAAGACACCTTAACCCCAGTACCCTCTCTCAGGCCTGTTTTAGGCCTTTATTATAATTTTGTGATCAAATTCCTAGGTGCTCTTTTCCTTCCAGAAATTCTTACAGAAGAAAAGTGTTGTCTTGCAGATAGGTAATACTGAATTTGCTGAGGGGCTGGAGAGATGTGGATAGGGCACTTGCCTTGCATCTGTCTGACCCGGGTTCAATCCCTGGCATCTCACAGGGTCCCCGGAGCACCGCCAGGAGTGCTTCCTGAGTGCAGAGCCAGGAGTGACCCCTGAGCACTGCCGGGTGGGACCCCAAAACTTTTTTTTTAAGTATAAAAAATTTATTAAAGTTCTTGTTCCCCAAATCTAAGACTTTTTAAAAAAATTTTTATTAGTGAAATACCATGAGGTACAGTTGTAGGTTTACAAATTTTTGTGCTTGGGTTTCGGTTATACAATGATCAAATACCCATCCCTCCACCAGTGCCCATTTTCCACCACCATGGATCCCAGTATCCCTCCCACCCCCCATCCCCCCATCCCACCCTGCCTCTGTGGCAGGGCATTCCCTTTTGATCTCTCTCGCCTTTTGGGTGTTGTGGTCTGCAAAAGAGGCATTGAATGGCAAACATGTTCAGTCCATAGTCTACTTTCAACATGCATCTCCCCTCCTGGGAGGATCCTCCAAACACCCTTTATTTGGTGCTCCCTTCTCTATCTGAACTGCCCTTTCCTCTGGAATACCTGGCTGGCCTCTAAGCTATGGAGTAATCCTCCTGGTGTTGATCTCAGCTATTCTTGGGTATTAATCTCATATTTTGTTACTTTATATCCCCCAGATGAATGCCAACTTTTTATGTCTATCCCTCTCTTTCTGACTCATTTGGCTTAGCATGATACTTTCCATATTGTACCACTTGTATGTAAATTTCATGACTTCATCTTTTCTAACAGCTACATAGTACTCCATTGTGTAGATGTACCAAAGTTTCTTTAACCAGTCATCTGTTCTTGGGCACTCAGGTCTCTTCCAGTTTCTGGCTATTGTAAAGAGTGCTGCAATGAACAAACAAGTGCATATGTTACTTCGACTATACATTTTTACCTCTCTGGGATATATTCCCAGGAGTGGTATTGCTGGGTCAAATGGGAGCTCAATTTCTAATTTTTTGAGAAACGTCCATCCTGTTTTCCAAAAGGGCTGAACCAGTCGGCATTCCCACCAGCAGTGAAGGAGTAGGACCCCAAAACTTTTTAAAATATTGCTGAAATTGGGTGCTGTCCTACTTGTTGGGGGTGAGGATATGTCTGACTCGGCCTCGAGGACCTTGAAAATGTCTTCCTGCCTACCAGGAATCTCTGAAATGCAGCCATCTATTTACACGTATCGATTTTTGTCAGGAAGTCCATCCCAGTGCATGGTCTGAAACGCTTGACTCGAGGAGGGGCCGGGAGCAGGGCAGGGGTGGCTGGGAGAGTGAGGTTGCAGCCACGTGCATCCGTAGCCGTCCGGGGTTGTGTGTGCCCGAAGTCGGATTCTCACTTCCTCTGTGCCCCGCCTCATGATAAGGTCAAGTCCTGTTCTGAATACAAAGGATCCACTTCATACCCAGACTGAAGTCTGACAGAAACGTATCACCTGCCAGTTTGTTTTTATACCATAAAAAGGAGGGGCTGGAGTGACAGCGCAGCTGGAAGGGCGTTCACCTTGCATGCGGCTGACCCGGGTTCGATCTGGCATCTCATATGGTCCCCCAGCACCGCCGGAGTGATTCCTGAGTGCAGAGCCAGGAGAAACCCCTGAACATCACTAGTGTGAACCAAAAAGCGCAAAAAAAAAAAAAAAAAGCCTGAACCCTGATGCTCTCTCTGGCCCTGCTCTGCTTTTTTGTTGAGATTCTAACACGCTCCAGCCTGCTGAGCTCTGGGTCTGAGGATGATGATGCTGAGGAGGAAGAGGAAGACAGGTTGGGGCCAACCTGGAGGGGACCACATGGGTTGCCGGGGATCGAACCCGGGTCGGCCACATGCAAGGCAAACACCCTCGCCGCTGGAACTGGGCGGGGTGAAGCAGCAGGCAGCCTGTTCCAGGCGAGCTGTGGGCAAGGGAAGGGACTTCCCTGCTCCTTAGAGACGAGGGTCCCCCGGCCACGTGGGGGTCGGGGCTCTCCATTGTCTGCCGGTGCGGAGCCTTCCGCTTGCGTCATCCTGGGGGAACCCTGAAGCCTTGGGCTCAGAGGCCGCGCACAGCCAGGCTTTGACCAGGGCAGCAGCCGGAGCTCGTCGTGCCTCTGTCAGCCACAGAGTCCCTGGAGCTTGGCTCATCCAGCTGCTACTCTCGGGCGCACGCATCTCGGCATGAGCGTTTTGCGTATTTCCCTCTGGAGGCGCCTCTCCTCTCTCTCCCCTCACACCTTTCTAAAGAAGTTTCAGTTAAAACTAGGAGAGAGAGAAAAACAGAGAGAGAGAGAGAGATAAAGGAGAGACAGGGACAGACAGAGACAGAGAGAGGGAGACCCCTCTGGCAGGAGTCGGAGTGATAGTATGTCGGGGGCGGGGGGGCACTCGCCTTGCACACAACATCCCATATGGTGCCCCAGCACCGCCAGGAGTGATCCCTGAGAGAAGAGCCAGGGGTAAGCCCTGAGTACCTCCCAGTGTGGCCCCCAAACCCAGACAATGATTTTTCGGACAAAGGAAAAGAAAAGTCCCAGCAGAACCCGCCTCTGGCTGGCTCCTTCCCGGGCTCGGCTCGGCTCTGCCAGGTGAACCGTTGCCCACCGGCCCTGGCGGATTCCTTAACTCGCCCCGTCTCTGCTTCCTGCAGCATCCCGAAAGGGTTTGAAGCCAAAAGCCGGAGCAAAAGTGATTCGAAAGGGCGCGGCAGCCCCAAGGAGAAGACCCTGGACTGCGGCCAGATCGTCTGGGGCCTGGCCTTCAGCCCCTGGCCCTCTCCCCCGAGCCGGAAGCTCTGGGCACGTCACCAGGCCCAGGGCCCCGACGCCGCCTGCCTGATCCTCGCCACGGGCCTCAATGACGGGCAGATCAAGATCTGGGAGGTGCAGACCGGTAGGTGCCCCACAGGGCCCAGGGCGCTCGGGGTGCAGAGACTCCCCAAGGGCCCAGGGCTGTGGTGCTGACCGGCTGTCCCCCCCAAGGCCTCCTGCTCCTCAACCTTTCCGGTCACCTGGACGTGGTGCGGGACCTGAGCTTCACGCCCAGCGGCAATTTGATTCTGGTCTCCGCGTCCCGGGATAAGACCCTGCGCATCTGGGACCTGAACAAACATGGTAGGGGCCTGGGGTCCGGGTGTCTGCCCCCGTCTCCCTCCCTGCTGTCGGGCCGCCCACACCGGCCCCCAGGCAAGGCTTCTAATCCCAAAGGTGCTGTGGATGCGAATTCACACGGATTCGCATCCGAAATGGCTTTTCTCTCCCTGGGACTCTTGCCTCCAGCTGGGGAACCCCTCTGCCCCCTCCCCCCAAAACACACACACTCACACTCTCTGTGCAAGCCACATCCCCCACTTCGAGAACCTGCAGTCCCGGGCCGGGCGCCTCTCGTTAGAAGGGGTTCCTCTGCTGAGTGGCATCATCCCTTCTTCTGGAAGCTTCTCTCTGGCCAGCGGGCGCCAGTGTGGAGCAGCTGGGTCTGGAGTCCTAGCCTGGGTCTGTGTCACCTTGTGACTTTTGAAAAGGTGACACGGGAAGCACCCAGCTTCTGGTTGCCCCGGGGAATGCAGACCCAGGACTATGAACGGTCCGAGAGACACCCCGAAATTCTGGCTGAGCCCCGACTGCCCCAGCTCCAGGAGAAGAGAATGGCCCCAGCCGTCTGCGTGTCCCAGTGCCAGGCTCGTGCTGGCTTCTGCCGGTCGGCGGTCGGCGGGCACTTTGCTGTCACAGCCTGATGCGGGCCTGTGGGTCGGGTGCCTCTCGACACGCCAGTTCCATCTGGAGCGTTGGCAGAGCAGCACCCACCGCCTGGGTGGCCCAGAAAGTGTCATGGTGTTGGGGAAAGGCGGGTGGCGGGCTGGACGCAGCCAGACGCGAGGGCCCTTTCAGAGAGGCGGAGGCTGAAAGCTGACCCAGGCCCTGGCATTCCCGGGCTCCCCCAGAAGTGCAGGCGCCCCTTGTGCCTGCCTGGCACGGGTGCCCCCGGACACCGGTCCTGGGGTGCTCCAGGGCTGCCATCCTGCACGGCTCGTGCTCTTCCGCCTGAGCCAGTAACTGTCCGGCCAATTCTGCCTCTTCCTGTCCGAGCCGGTGTGGAGGCTGCTTTCGAAAGCTTATCCTCCGTGTGGTTCTCTGCCCAGCCCCCAGCTGCGCGCACTGCCCCGCGTGGCTCAAGCCCTTGGCACTTCCGGGCCTGGCCGTCTTCATCCCGGGGCATCCCAGCCCACCCTTCTTTCTGAGGCCTTCATCTGTGGATTCGCCCTCTCTGAGTTCACCCCCAGACTGAGGCCTGAAGAGTTACTGGGACCTGGGCGAGCGGTGGAAGCTGTTCAGACCCGTGTGCTGACCCCAGGGCACGTCCACCAGTATCGGGGCGTGGTGGGGGGTGGCTGTGAGAAGGGAAACCCCCAGGGGATACGAGCCAGAGAGAAGCACCAGGGCTCAGTCAGGAGGCTTCCGAGCATGTTGGTGCTTGGGGGACCAAAGGAACGTTCTCCGCCACCCGATGCTGTGTCCACCCGTGATCGCCGACCTCGGTGGATTTTGATGGAGCAGGATGACGCGGTTCTCCCCAAGGCAGCGGCCGTTTGTGCCGGCCCCTCGAGCTCAGGGGTTCTAAGGGCAAATTCACCCCATCCCTTTGCAGTAGGGAGGCGGGCGAGGAGGGGCCTGGAGGGCAAGGCGGAGGGGGGCGGTCTCCCCACCCAGGCCCCGCCGCTGGCTCACGGGGGCCCCTCTCTTCTCCCCAGGGAAACAGATCCAGGTGCTGTCCGGCCACCTGCAGTGGGTGTACTGCTGCTCCATCTCCCCGGACTGCAGCATGCTCTGCTCGGCCGCGGGCGAGAAGTCGGTGAGGCGAGGGCGTGGCCCGGCTGGCGGGGGTGGGGTGGGGGGGGGCTCTTCCGCCAGTCACCCCTGGATTGGCACTTGGTGGGAACGCAGAGAGGAGCTGGGGGGCAGGGGCTCGCCTCTGCAGCGCTCAGGGCTGCTTTCCATTAGTTCATTGATTTCTGGGTTTGGGGCCACACCTGGCAGTGCTCGGGGCTGACTCCCGGCTCTGAGCTCAGGGATCCCTCCCGGTGACGATACGGGGTGCTGGGGATCAATGTGCAAGGCAAGTGCCATCTCCTCTGCACTCTTGGCCCCTCAAGGATGCTTCTAAAAAAGTTTTTTCCCCCTCTAGAGGCGTAAGCTTTTTGGTTTGGATTTCTTTTTGGGAGTGGGGGAATCACCCTGCGATGCTCAGGGGTTACTCCTAGCAGTTCTTGGGGGACTGTATGGGATATCAGGGATCGTATCCCTTATCGACTGCATGGCTTATTTTAATGATTTTTTTTTTGCTTTTTTTTTTGGGGGGGGTCACACCCGGCGATGCTCAGGGGTTGTTATTCCTGGCTCTCCAGTCAGGAATTACTCCTGGCGGTGCTCGGGGGACCACGTGTGATGGCGGGGATTGAACCCAGGTCGGCCGCGTGCAGGGCAAATGCCCTACTCACTGTACTATCGCTCCAGCCCCACTTAACTCTGGCTTATTTTGTTGGTCAGTTGAACCTTGGGGCCTCACACATGCAAGGCAGGTGCTCGACCACTGGGCCCCATTCCCGGCTCTGGAGTCTTGGAGATTTTAAGTGTTGCTGGGCTCAGAGATGGTCGCTCGTCGGGCTGAGGGACTGCCGTGCATGGGGTCATTCCCCAGCCCTTCAGGGGCAGCTTTTGGGGTCAGAGTGTGGCCCCAAAGCGTCAACAAAGATTTTAAAAATTGTGGCTAACACATGGGGACCAATGTTTTCGTTGAAGCATCTAACTTGAAAGCAGCCAGTTAGCATTTCCACTTCAAATATGGGACCTGGGGCCCCTTGGACTTTGCTCTGAAGCCCTGTTATTGATTGACCGTGAGGGTGTTTCTCTGGGTCTCACCTCTCTCTCTCTTTCTTGTTTCTGTTTTTGTTTTCACCAGGCTCAGGAATTACTCCTGGTTCTGTGCTCAGGGATCACTCCTGGCATTGCTGGGGGGCCTTTCTGTGGTGCCAGGGATCTCACCCGAGGTGGCCACAGGCCAGGCAAATGCCTTCACCCCTGCTGTTTCTCTGACCGCTCGTCTATTTTTTGTCATTTCGTAAGATACTAGCAACACAAGAGGGGTCTGGGAATAGTATTTTGTATCTGCATTGAGCTCTCAGCCATGATTGAGCGACGTCCAGGAGCGAGTACTGAGCATGCCGGAGGCCTGGCACCACCAGGAGTGGCCCCTCAGCATCCCCAGGTGTTACCCCCAAACCAAAAAATCCAGGTCCATCATTCCCTAGGGCCCAGCATTTAATCTGCTGGTTGGAATTTGGGGAAAGTGAATTTCCTGAAAGAAGATTTCTCCTTCCCACAATCTGCAAGCAGGTCGGGGTGGGTTTTCCTGGCCCCAGAGCACTTGGCGGCCTGCTGTGTCCGCCCTGGAGTCACTTCTGACCCCGTCTTCGGTACGCGTGAAGGACAGAGGGGCTTGACTTGGCGGTCACACGCACGGCGTGTTGGCGGGCAGCTCGGGCGCGTGGCTCAGTGGGGTTGGCTGGCCGCCTCTCGGGGCTGGCCCGGATGGCCGGAGAGAGCACCTTTGTCAGCGTGTCCTGGTTAGGTGGCCAGAGACTCCGCTCTCGGGGCTGGATAGTTCAGCAGGTAGGGCACTTGCCTCGCACACAGCCCAAACCCAGGTTTGCTCCCTGGCTCCCTGGAGGGTCTTGAGTCCCACCAGGAGTCATCCCTGAGCACGCCAGGTGGGGCTGTAAAAAACAAACAACTTCCCCCACAGGTATGGGGAGATAGGCGTGGGGGCGGGGTGCAGTCAGCCTTGCTTTGATCCCCAGCCTGTAGGGTCCCTCAGGGTCCCTCAGGGTCCCTCAGCCCCGTCAGGAGCCCTGAGCAGAGCCAGGAGTAAGCCTGGAGCACCACCGGTCGCGGCCCCCCACAACCAAAAACTCATCAGAATGTCCATCTGCGCCTCGATTTCCAGGGCCTCTGTCCCTCACGGGGGCCTGGTCGCCGGCCCTCACCCGCCCTGTGTCCTCGCAGGTCCTGCTCTGGAGCATGAGGTCCTACACGCTGATCCGGAAGCTGGAGGGTCACCAGAGCAGTGTTGTCTCCTGCGACTTCTCCCCTGACTCTGCCTTGCTGGTCACGGCCTCATATGACACCAACGTCATCATGTGGGACCCCTACACCGGCGAGAGGCTGAGGGCACTCCAGTAAGCACCCCCGTCTGTGTGTGGGGGGGGCGGTTTTTTTATGGGGTGTGCGTGTGTGGTGGTGTGGGTGGTGGTGGTTGTGTGTGTGGTGGTGTGTGTGCTTGTGTGTGTGGTGGTGGTGTATATGTGGTGGAGTGTGTTGCAGTGTGTGTGGTGGTGGTGGTTGTGGGGGGGGTGTGTGTGTGTGTGTGTGGTGGTGGTGGGGCGTGTGTGGGGGACAGCACACATCCCTCTCAGAGCCTGGGCCAGGGAGCGACACCTCAGGCAGCTGTGGGCACTTCGGTGTCTGGTTTCAGGATAGACCGAGGCTCCCGGATGGAGCAGGGAGGCTCGAGTGCCCGTACCCCAGTCTGAGCCAACGTGTGGGCTGCGCCAGCCTCTCAGCCAGGCTTTCTCTCCAGCCCCGCCATGGGCTGGGCCTGCCTCTGTTATCGCATCAGCCCTGGGGACTCTCCGGTCCCGCCTGGGGCACCCCGGGGAGGGCAGGCTTGCGGGAGGGAGCGCGGGGCGGGCGAGGGGCACCCTGGGAGCCCGAGAAAGCCTTTTCCCAGTCGCCCACGCCAGGGGGTCTTCAGAGGGGACCCGGGAGCCCTGCACCGCCTCGGCTGGGGACGGCCTCCTGCCCCGGGTTTGCGGTGAGGGGTCTGCGGGCAAGGGCGCGCGTCCCCAGGCTCGGCTTCCCTCCCCCACTGCAGCCACACCCAGCTCGACCCGGCCATGGACGACAGCGATGTCCACCTGAGCGCCCTGCGGTCCGTGTGCTTCTCTCCCGAAGGCTTGTACCTCGCCACGGTGGCAGATGACAGGTGAGCCACGCACTGCTCCCTCGGGCAAGGACGGGCTCGCGACCCGTCCCAGCCTGGCCTTGGGGACCCTGCCTGCCCCAGCGCTGCCACTGGCCCGTCTCCCCACAGGCTGCTCAGGATCTGGGCCCTGGAGCTGAAAGCGCCCGTTGCCCTGGCGCCCATGACCAACGGGCTCTGCTGCACATTCTTCCCGCACGGCGGGGTCATCGCCACGGGGTGCGTATGCGCTGGAGCAGCGAGCATCTTTGGGCTAATGACGAAGCCTTGCGGGCCCGTGAGGGAGGATCTCCTCTCCTGCCTCCTGAGGTTTAACCGTCCCACGGCTCAAGCTGCAGTGAGGGCCACGGGAAGGGCCAAGTTCGAGGGGAGGCAGAACTCACGATGCAGGGGCTGGAGCGACAGCACAGGGGGGAGGGTGCTTGCCTTGCACGTGGCCGACCCGGGTTCGATTCCCAGCATCCCCTAGGGTCCCCTGAGCACCGCCAGGAGTGACTCCTGAGTGTAGAACCAGGAGGAACCCTTGCGCATCGCTGGGTGTGACCCAAAAAGAAGAGAAAAAAGTCACGGTGCAGAATTCGCAGGGAGATGGCATTCCTGCAAGGGGCTGAGGCTCCCCTTTGCCCGGGCCGGGATCCAGAAGTGGCTGCACTGACTCACATGGGCACTCCGGTGTGTCCCCAGCGCCCCCAGCCGCACCAAGAGCTGGGGAGACACCAGAAACCCCCCAGCCCGGGGCAGCCCCATCTCAGGCATCCGTTTCTGCTTCCTTTCAGGACGAGGGACGGCCACGTCCAGTTCTGGACGGCCCCCCGGGTCCTGTCGTCGCTGAAGCACTTATGCCGGAAGGCCCTGCGGAGCTTCCTCACCACGTACCAAGTGCTCGCACTGCCGATCCCCAAGAAGATGAAAGAGTTCCTCACCTACAGGACTTTCTGAGCCCGCGGCCCGGCTCGCTCGGCGCAGCAGTGATGCCGGCATGGGGTCGGGACTGGACCAGGAGGGAGGAAACTGGACTTGGGTGGGCTCCGCCCTTGGTCTGGTCCACATAGACGTCCGGTGTTGGTCGCCTCCTAGTGGTTCTGGGTTGTGTGCAGTGACCGATGTTGTGGGTGAGCATGGCAGGACCCCTGGGCCCCCCATTCTCCTGCTGTGTCGTTGCCGTCATGAAGTCGTCTCCTGCCCGGTGCTCTGCTTCCTCCAGCTGCCACGAGGGACCAGCAGGGCGTGTGCAGGGATGGGTGTGTACGTGGTGTGTGTATGTGTGTGTGTGTGCGCGCGTGTCCAGGCCCAGCCGCATGACCGTCCGCATGGCTCGTGAGTTGTCTGTGGTTCACCATTCCTGAGCGTATTTATTCGTGTTTCTTCGCAGATGTTATGGTACAACCGTTTCTCTCCCTGGTGTCTGGGCCTGCAGGCTGGCACGCTGCCGTGTGGGCTGTCCTTGCTGTGGGGCCTCCGGCCAGTCCTCGGCCACTCGAGAGAAACCACCCCTGCACTGGGCTTCCCAGCAAGGCCCCCGCCCCCACGAAACCTGTCTTTGGAAACTAATATATTTTAAATTATTTTCTAGCAAAGGCCACCCTATCTCCTTTGGCTTCCTTCCAGGAGGCTGGATGGAGGTTGGTCCCAGTGATGTGCCCCGATGAGAATGTGGGCGTCTCCTCCCCCCTCAGGGGCTGGAGGACCTTTCTAGAGGCTTCTTGAAGGCCAAAGTGAAGCATGGGCGCTTGTTTCTTTCATTCCCCTATTAAAAAGTCCCTTTTGGAAACAAGTGAGGGCGTTGGGGTGGTGAGTGAGCGGCTGGGGAATTTGAAGTGACCCTTCCCAGGAGCCAGAGGCTCTAGGCAGGGCCTGAGTGCTCCCATGGGTGTCCCGTGGGTGCCTCCCCCAAGCAACACCTTCCTCTGGTCTCCAGACACCACTGGGCTTTCCACACGCAGCAGGATGACGTCCTGGCCCGTACCCAGGGCTGCTTCGTTGGTGAAGAACACTACATCTACCCACTGAGCCACTGCAGTGGGCTTCCAGGGGCCCTGCGCGGCTGCTGGCCCCAGGGCGTCACCAAAAGTGAGAATGCTCTACTGTCCACACCATTAGCAACCTGTGAATGACTCTTGGACTTCAAGAGAAATAAAGACCAGTTTCTAAAGGAAGAGAATCAAGTGTTTCATGAGGGCAGGACAATCTGGGGTAGCAACCCACGGGCACCGTTCAGCGACAAGTTGGGTTGCGCGGCTTTGAAATCCAGAGACATTTGCAGGGCTTGGGGTTGGCCTGCAGCTGGCAGAAGTCCAAGTGCATCTGCCGTGCATGCAGGAGGCTGGGGGCAGACCCCCGCACGGCCCAAACAAAAAGCAGAGCCAACTGTGGGCATACTAGATGACAGAGTCTTTCCCAAAGCGAACGGGCCCCGTCCCTGCTCTCTGAAAAGCAAGGCTTTGAGGTTGGGGAGGGGGGGGTGGCTTTGTCCCCCTAGGAAGGCCAGCGGGAGGTGTCAGGACAGACACGCATCGCTGCTGTTCTGCATGTCCCCAGCATAGAGCCCGCCAGCCCATGCCCCAAACGGGTCCCCCCTTTGGGGAGAGGAATGAAGGCGGTCTCAGCCTCTAGGCGTCTGTGACGATCAGGTCTCTGGTGACCTGAAAGGCCGCGATGAGGGAGCTCAGCTGGATCTTCTCGCTGGTGCCGGCAGACAGTCTGTACCTGGGGGACACGGAGACAGAGGTAAGGGGGCCTCTGACCTGTGCCGGGGACAGGCGCCAGAGTGTCTCCTCATCTTCAGTGCTCAGACTCAGCTCAAATCGGCGTGTTCTGGACCCGCAGGACGATGCCCTACGCGCTGACACCCCCCACCCCCAAACACGGGGTGGTTCTGTTTGTGCCTGGGGTCCACTCCCAGCAGGGCTCAGGGGACCCTGGGGTGCTGGGTGCTCCTGCGTGCAAAGCCTGCATCCCGGCCCTTGGAGCCATTTTCCCAGGCTGAGGAACTGGGGGATTTCCCTCCCTTTTCACCCCGGGCGGCAGGAGGCCTCACCTCTCCTTCCAGGAGTGCCCAGCCCCGAGAGCAGGCTCTGCACAGCTAGCCTGTGTGTGCAGGGACGGCCAGCCAGAGCCGGCCAGGGTTGACATCTGTGTGAACCCAATGCTTTTGTCTCCTTAAATGATAGCTGCTAGCTTCGCCGGGGTCTAATAACTGTGTTTAACGAACCAGGCTATGGGGAAAACGGAGTTTATGTTTACTTTTTCCCCCCAATATGACTCTGCGTGCCAAAATATCTTCCTAGCAGCTGGCCAAACAGCCGTGCCCGCACACCCTCGGGTCTGCATGGGGGCGCCTCCTGCCCTGGTTCCTGGAGGCCCTCCAGTCCTTTCGATTTGTCGGTGCTTTGCAACACCACCCGCCTCTTGCCCCCTTCTCTTTTTACTGTTGGCTTTTTGGGTCACACCCAGTTGTGCTCAAGGGTTGCTCCTGGCTCTGCACTCAGGAATGACTCCTGGTGGTGCTCAGGGGACCATATGGGATGCTGGGGATTGAACCCGGGTCGGCTGCATGCAAGGCAAATGCCCTCCCCGCTGTGCTATCGCTCCAGCCCCTCTCACCCACGGTGCCGTGGCACTGGGTGGGAATGATGGGGAGGCAGGAGGGGTGAAGCCAGGAAGCAAGGCGAAGGCGGGGTATGTTAGGGGGGGAGGCAGATGGCGGGGGGAGAAACACTTACTCAATGTCTGCCATCTTGGTCAGCAGGTGTATTCGAACTGATGCCGGGAAGTCCACTGGGGGAAAGAGGTTGGCGTGAGAGAGGCCCAGCTCTGCCCACTGCTCCCGACCGCCCCGAGGGAAGCACGACTGGGTCAGCTTCCCTCTCCACACGGCGACCCTCTGCCGTGGGGCCCAAACCGCAACTCCATGCGGGCCCAGGCAGATGAGCAGAAGGGAGACACACTCCACGGCCTGGCCATCGAGCCCAGGACCAGGCTCGCCCAGTACCCCGACTTCGCTTAGCAAGGTTCCTGGGCCACACCCAGCAGGGCTCCTAGCTCAGTGCTCAGGAATCAGTCCTGGCGGGTCTCAGGGAACCCTACCAGGTGCCGGGATCAAACTCAGGTCGGGGATTTTGCATGTGCCAGGCAACTGCCTGACCCGGGGCTCTCCCTGCAGCCCTTGGAACTGTTCTCAGTAGCAGGAGAATGGAAGCGAGGGAGCGGGTTTTGATTTCACGCCTCTTCTCAGCACTCTAGCCCAGGCTCGCTCCCGACCCACCGAGTCCCAGAACGGCCGCCTTCTCTCCGGCCTCTCCCCTTGCGCCCTGCGCCACCGACCTCTGTGCACGAACAAGTGGATCTCAGTCAGGATGTCATGCAGGGCCAACCCCTTCAGCGTCTTCAGCGCCATGATCTCTGCACACACACAGTGAAGGCGGAGGGAGCGAGTGCGTGTGCCCCCCACAGCCGCCCCCTTTCCACGAAAAGCCGCAGTGTTGCTCCCCGCCCCACGCCGAGCCTTTTTGTGCGCCAACTCTGCCCTTCGACGAGGGCTTTCTCGAAGGGGAGCGTGTCGGGAAACGCCGGCCACGTGTTCCCAGAGTGCCACCTGTGTCCTGCCATGGGGGGGCTGCCCCGTCTGCTGTCCACGCCTGATGGACAAGATCCTGGTGGACAATCCCAGGAAACGTGGGGGTACCCGAGCAGCCTGCGCCGTGCCCTGAGAAAAGGATACTCCTGTAGGCAGTGGTGAAGTCCAAGTTCAGCATCCAGTCCAGGATGTTGGCAATGTCGGCCCTGAGCGGGTGTCCCGTGCAGGTGTAGACCGTCTCCTCTGTCACCTTCCCGAAGGCCATGTGGGTGCTCTGTGCCGGCGGGGGTGCGAGGGACGGCAGAGAGGTGTGGAGGGAGCCCCAGGGGGCGGGCAAGGCACCCCAGCTGTCCTTTCTCCCCCTCCGCCCCGGGCAGGCCCCTCGGAGACGCTGGCCCCCTCCTGCCCCCGGCAGCATTTCCTCACGCATAACTGCTGTGGGTCCCCGTTACTGGGGTTTGAGTCGCTCCTGGCAGTGTCCAGGGTCACTCCTAACAGGACCCGGGGGCCCTCTGCACAGCAAACACCTCCCCCTGCATGGCCACTCCGGCCCATGCACCACTGTTCCAATGACCAGAGCCAGAGCGGGTGGAGGGAGGCCGCCTCGGGCCCGCCGGGTCCACCTGACAGGACGCCCCTACCTGCAGGATGTTCAGGGCCCGCCGCATGTCCCCACTGGAGAGGGTCACCAGGGCCTTCATCCCGTCCTCACTCACGTCCACTCTGGAAGGACACGGGGAAGTCACTGCCACCCCTTCCCCGGGCCCGAGCGGCCAGACGGCAGAGGAACAGTCAAGAGCGCCTTCCCGGGGCGCCTGGCCCTCCTGCTCGCAGGACCCCGCTCACCGACAGTCAGGGCCAAGCAGAGAGGGAGCAGCAGCTCGCAGCCAGGGACTCACTTCTCTTCCGCGATGACGTGCTCCAGGCGGGGCACCATGAGCTCGGGGCCGAGCGGGCCGAAGCGGAAGCGCGTGCACCGGGACTGCAGGGCGGGGATGATCTTGGACAGGTAGTTGCAGATGAGGCAGAAGCGGGTGTTTTCCGTGAACTTCTCGATCACTGGCACAGGGACGAGAAGGGCACCAGAGGTCCCACCCGCCAGGCCAGGACCCCACCCCCCTGCGGGGGTCTCACGCCGGGCCCGGGGCATGCTGGCAGGCGGGACGTGTGTGTCCCCACCTCCTCGTGGTGGCCTGCTGTCCCCTCAATGGCCGCTCCTGCCTGCCACTTCCTGGCCGCCCTGATGGAGGCCAGTCCTGCTGTTTGCGTAAGTCAGTGACGGTCCACCTGCCACTGGGCGTGGGGGGCTGGCCTTCTGCACGCCCCACCTGGAGGCCTCAGAGCCTCTGGGGCTGCAGCAACCCCAATTCCAAGCTGCCTCTGACACCAGGTCCCTGCTGCCAGGACCTGGGGCTGCTGCGCGGGGATCAGGCCCAGGAGGACAGCGGCCCGGAAGAGCAAGATGCCAAGGGCAGGATTCCAGGGCTTCCAGGCCGGACGGTGCTCTGTCCTCGTCTGATCCGTGAGGCCACCCTCCCCCCAACTTCCTTTAGCTGCTTGCTGACCTTGCGTGCTTCCTCCTCTAGTGCCCTCGTGCATACGGTGAGGTGGCTTGAGCTTTTTTTTTTTTTTTTTTTTGCTTTTTGGGTCACACCTGAGGAGTCCCTGCTGGCTCTGCACTCAGGAATTACTCCTGGTGGTGCTCAGGGGCCCATATGAGGTGCTGGAGATCAAACCCAGGCTGGCTGCATGCAAGGCAAGCACCGTCTCTCCTGGACTATCGCTCGGGCCCTCCCTAGAATCTTGCTATCCATTCGTTTCTTTGGGGCTCTCTGTGCAGTACTCAGAGGGGCTCACTCCCAGCAACACTCAGCAGGACGGCCACCAGCAGTCAGGGACGAAAACACCCTGTCCCAGGGTTCAGAGCCTCAACGGGAACAGGACCCAGAAGGAGAGGCGACCAGCATGCGGTCATATGGAAGAGCCAAAATGGACAGTGCCCTCCAATGCCCCCAGGGGACCCCAAGGACAGAGGACCTCTCCCTCACTGACACGGCAGAGAGGAGAAGCGAGCACGGAGCACCGAGCACCCCACCCCTGGCCCGTGCCGAGAGAGCTCGTCTCCAGGGCCTCACTCGGCCAGCAGCCCGGCGCTCACCTCTGCGCAAGGCGTTCTGGGCATCTTGAGTCATGGCGTCGGCCTCGTCCAGAATCACCAACTTAAAGCCTTTCCTGGGAGAGCGACGGCGACGTATGACGCTGCTCCAGTCGCCCAGACCCAGCCGAGGCTCCGAGACCGCGAGCAGACCCCCGTGCGCAGGATCGCCTGGTGCCCCGACTCCCGCTGGGCTCCGGCTCCCTCCTCGCCCCTGTCCTGCCCTGCACCCCACCCCACCCCTCTCCTTTTCACCCCCTCCCCATCCACCCCACACATCTCCTCATCCCCTGCCTCCTGAAACCAACACCCACCCTAGTTCTCTGTGACCTTCCCCTGAGATGTGCTAACGGACGCTCTTTTTCTATCCTCATTGTCAACTGGTTTGGGCCACACCCAGCTGTACTCAGGACTTACTCCTGCTGGTGCTCGGGGGACAATATGGGATGCTGGGGATCGGACCGAGGTTGGCTGCAGCAAGGCAAGAGCCCCACCGCTGTACTAACCTCTTCCGCTCCGCACTGTAACTGCCTCACCGGCAGTCTTACACTCACGCTCCCTTTCTCAAGGCTGCTCTCGCCAAAGTCATTTTCTTCGTTCTTTCATTTGGGGGGGTGTGGTGGGAGAGGGGATACCTGGCAGTGCTCAGGGGTCACTCCTGATGGTTCTTGGGGGAACCACACGTGGTACCGGGTATTGAACCCGCGTCAGCCACGTGCAAGACAGGTGCTGTCCCCACTGAGCCCTCGCTGCGGCCCACCGCCCAAATCATTTTCTTTCTTTTCTTTTCTAACTTTTACCAGCCGGCCAGGGCGGGCAGCAGGGGATTCAAAACATCAAGCTGTATCATCTCAGCAAGCCCCATCCAGAGAGAGAGAAATCGTGCCGAGCCCTTACTTAAAAATGGTCCGCGTGCTGGCAAAACTCAGGATGGGGCCTCGGACAATGTCGATCCCTCGGTCGTCTGAAGCGTTGAGCTGGGGGGAGAGAAGCAGCCAGTCAGCCAGCGGCCAGTGTGCTCGGGGCCGAGGCCACCGAAGGCCAGACAGGGGCGGATGTCACTACTAAAGGACACTCGCCACGCTCACGCCCTCAGTGGGCAGGTGAGGCCCGAGTGAGACGCCTGCAGGCGGGGACGACCCAGCGTCCTGCTCCTCCCTCCCCGCCCAAACCCTGCCTGGGCACCTACTGACCCTGGCACCAGAAGGCAAGGAAGTTTCCAGCCAGTGGGACTCAGCCTCCCCAGGAGGGCCAGGACCCACCCACGGACGCACTCCCGAGTGGCAGGTGGTTGAGCACTGGCAGCTGAGCAACCGCCAAGTGTCAGCAGAAGCTGGGCCAGAGCGAAGGGAAGAACCAAAACCCCACAACCTGCGTCCAGCCAACACCAACCCAGACCGAGGCGTCCACTTGGGAAGAGAGGGGAGAGGGACGCTCGCTGTCCACTCCCCTGCCTGCCGGAGAGGCTGGCTTTTATAAAAACCCCAGCAGAATGAAAACAAACGGACTGGAGTTCCTCCTCCCATCCCCCGCCCCGCAGGGGAAGGACAATGTGCTTCACCTCCAAAACCATGGAGCCAAATTCCTTCTCTCTGTACAGCTGCTTGGCACACGCCAGGATGGTGGACGTCTTCCCGGTGCCCGGAGGCCCGTACAGCAGCAGATGCGGCAGCCGGTCTTCACTGATGAACTTCTGAACTGAGGGTTGGCAGGGAGAGCAAAGGGATTGATTTCCGGGAGCGGCCGCGTCCACCGCCGGCGCCGGCCCCTCCATTCGATTCCGAGGCAGATGCAGGGACAAAAAGCCAGAAGGCAGCGCTCGGGCCTGAGAGGAACGACCCATCGGGAGCCACCAGGCCCTCAGAGACATCACTCAGCAGAGCACGACCCGGGCCGGCGGGGAGGACACACTTACTGGTACTCAGGATGTCCTGATGAGAGATGAGATCGTTCAGCGTCTGGGGCCGGTATTTCTCAACCCTGAAGGATAACGAGGGTCCGGGGTTATGAGCCAATTTTATCACCAAAAGCGGAAGCGCGACAAAAGCCTCCGGATTTTGCACGCAGACCAGAGGTTCCCAACCTAGTGGTATTTTTCCAGCGGGGCTGTATCCCATGAGTAGGCACCAGGGATGCCTCCAGACTTCCTACAATAGGTGGGGCCGCCTTCGTGCCCCCTCTTGAACCTCTCCCCCATCCCAATCTCAACAGGGCTGAGGTCAAAGAACTGCTCGAACTTCACCTCTCCAGCGGGCAGCTTCAAACTCTCTACCTGAATGGCATCAGTGACTCAAAAAATGAAGGAAAAACTACATTTGGACACCAAGCAAGGAATGCAAGCGAGGAGGCGTCTTCGGCATGAAAGAATGAGGTCTGCACAAGTGCTACAATGCAGAACAGCCTGAAAACATCAGGCCAAGTGACAGGAGGCAGACAGGCGACCCAGACTGTGGGGTTCCCTTTAGAGAAATACCCGAGCCCGGCTCACTCCCGGCAAGCAGTGGCTGCCCAAGGCTGAGGGAGGGGTGGGCAGAGAACGGGATGGTGGTTCGAGGGCCTTGTAGCTTCCAAGCAGTTACAACGGCCCACCATGTGCCATGCTCTGTGCATTTTTACCACCATCAACTGCCCCTCCTCCCCAACTGGTTCTCAGACAAGAGCAACTCCGGAGTTTCCTGCAATTAAGCCAAATCCCATCTATGTCTCTAAAGCATTTTGGGGAAATGATAGTGACGAGGGTAAGTTATGAATCCACCTAAGCCTGTTTTCTGTTTATTTGGCTTTTGGGCCACACTCAGCAGTGCTCAGGGATCACTCTTGGCAGGGCGCAGAGGAGCATATAGGGTGGTGGGAATCAAAGTCGTGTCAGCTGGGCGTAGGCAAGAAACCTGCCTGCCAGACCGTCTCTGGTCCCTACCTCTGTTTTCTAGCCTGGGGCCTTGGAACACCAGCTACCCCGTATCTCCCAAGCCAAACCTGGGCGTTTTACAGAACAAACCTCCAATGAGGTGCTTTTTACAGAACAGAAAACATCACATTCATTATCACTCTCACGAGAAATCGGAAATGTAGCCCACAACTGGCGAGGAAGATTTTGAGGCGAGGAAGGGGACCGTGGCATAAAAGGTGGAGGGGCCAAGCACTGCACATGGGACACGCTATGATTCTGCTGTTATTAAAAATATATAAGTCCGGGGCCGAAACGACCATACAGCGGGGAGGGAGTTTGCCTCGCGCGCCGCCAACCAGAATTGGCTTCGGGCGTCCCATTTGGTTCCCATGGAGCACTGCCTGGAGTAATTTCTGAGTGCAGTCAGGAGTAAGCCCTGAGCATCGCCGGGACCCCAAAACTATCTATACATACACATATGTACATATAAATATGTGCGTACACATAATACATACACATGTGTGTACATCTATGCATGTGCATACGCACACGTAGATATACGCACACGTACGTACAGTCACGTGCACAGGTACATGCATGTGTAATCTATGTATGTGTATGCACACGTTAGGCATACATGCGTGTGCATGTACACACATGCACACACGTGCACACGTGTGCCTACGTATGTACAAGTACGCATACACGCATGCACATGTCTCATCACGAAAAATGACACCAAGAGGACGGGGGAGATCTTGGCGGGGGGGCGGGGAATGTCAATAGCAGCGGGATGGAAGCCGTCATCCAGCCACGCTCGGAAAACGCTCTCGGTGGGGGAGGGGTCCGGGCGGAAGTGCCCAGCAGAGCCGGGGGCTGTCCGGCGGCCCGCGCCTCCTACCAGGGCAGGTTCCTGATCTTGGCCGCCGAGGCGTCCATGGCGCGGGGACGGACGATCGCGTCGGGGTCGGCCGGTGCCGCGCGAGGCCTGCGGAGCCGCCAGCCGAGCCGGACGCCCTGGGCCCCGCGCTTCGGGGTTCGCGCGCAAACGCAACTCTCGCGAGACCCGGCCGCCGCGACTTCCGACTTCCTCTCTCGGCCCCGCCCGCGTTGCCAGGGCGCCGGTTGCCAGGTAACGGGAGGCGCCGCCGCCGCCCCGCCTCCGGGCCCGGCGCTCGCGGCTCACCGGGGCGGAAGGGGCGGGTCCCAGCGGGCGTCATCGCGGCTCCGGCGCGTAGCGCTCAGGGCAGCCGGCGTGGCCGGAGCTCAGAAGTGCCCCGAGCGGGGGCAGTGACAGGGCCAGTCCTCGGTGGGGGAAGCCCCTGGGAGAGGGTCCCTTTGGCCTCAGCGCTGGAGGTGAGTGCTGGGAAGTGAAAAGCAGGCCCCGACAAACAGCTCCGAAACGAATGCAGTGAAACAAGCAGCTCCAAAGGCCTGGCCCGAACCGAACGCGAGGGGCGAGACCAACCTCCCGGGGAGGGCGAGCGGTGGTGCGGCAGGCGGGGCCTTGGCCGTGCGCGCGGCTGCCCGGGGTTCGAATCCCAGCACCCACGTGGCGCTCCCGGAGGCCTGCCGGGAGCAGAGCGCCGAGTCAGGGGGCAGCTTAGTACGACCAGGTGTGGCCTGGCCCAAAGAGAATGCAGCAGCGGGTAAGGCGCCCGACCTGGGTCTGATGCTCTAACGTCCCATAGAGTCCTCTGAGTATTGCTAGGAATAACGCCTGCGTGCAGAGCCAGGAATAACCCCCGAGTCTCTCCGGTGTCACCCCGAAACCAAACAAACGGAGAAAAAACCCAGAAACATCTCCAGGGCTGAAAATAACCCCATCCAGGTTAATATGTGTAGCTGCAAAGGGCTGACTCATCGATGAAGATGACACGGTCCTGGGACCTGAAGATAATGGCAGAGAACTAGATAATGGCAGAAAACTGGTATCAAAATGTAGAAGTGTTTTTTCTGAGGTTAAGGGAATTAAGGGTGTGTGTGTGTGTGTGTGTGTGTGTGTGTCACTGTGTCACTGTGTATATGTGTCTGTGCGCAGTGGGGGCAGCATATGCATCATTGCATCACCGTCACCCAAGTTAGGAGCAGAGTAAAGGGCCGGTGGACAGTGGCAGCTGTGGCTTCACCCTACCTAGCCCCTGCCTGGGGATCCAAGAACAGGAGAGCCAGGAGGCGTCACAATATGCCCCCTCCCCTCTGCTCCCTTCTGGGCACCTCTAACCCGGGGCTCCCCTGGTGAGTGGGCCATTCCCCTACTTAGTCTGAGATGCTTCTCTCTTCCTCTTCATCATCTTGCAAAGATGAAATGACAAGACATTTGTGAAGTCCCCTGCCTCCCTCCTTCCCAACACCCGCCCCACCCGTCCTGCTCTTCTTGCCAGTGTTTCCTCTAAAGAATTGGAAGGTTGGCCTGGAGAGACAGTGTCGGGAGTCTAGCACCTGCCTTGCATGCAGCTCACTTGGTTTGACCCCCAGCATCCCCATGGCCGCCCGGGCACTGCTGGGGGAAACCCCGGAGCACTAAACTGGGGTAGGCCCTGAGCATCATTGAGTGTGACCCAACCCTCCTCATCCCCCTACTGCCCCACCCCCTGAAAAAAATTGGCAGGGGTTTCTAGGTATGACTGGCTTAAAGGATGCTAGAAAATTGTATCACATTAGTGGGTGCTGGTGGAGGGTGACTGAGGGAATGTGGGAAGAATGTTTGACTCAACAGAGCAAAGACGTTCTCTGCTCAAGGGGCCCGAGCAATAGCACAATGAGTAGGATGCTTGCATTGCATGCGGGTTTGATCCCCAGCATCCCATGTGGTCCCCCAAGCACCACCAGGTGTGATCCCCGAGAGCCAGAAATAAGCCCCGAGCATCACTGGGTATGACGCCCCCAGTGCAGGTGGTTGTCTTCCCATCCACTGAGAGCCCAAATACAATAGAAAGGCAGAAGAAGGGAGACTTGACTTCCTGAATCGCCACTTCCCTCTTCTCTGCCTGCAGACACACGTCCTTGTTCTTGGGCCTTTGGATTCGACCCAAGTGATGCCGCCAGTGTGCTCAGGAGACTTCTCAGCCTTCACAATCACATAAGCTCATTTCAATCACCTACAGCAAATAATAGGACTGTCAACACCTGTATGTTCTTTGGGTTCTGTTTTCTCAGGAAAATGTTGAGTTAAAATACCACACCTGGATGCTGGGATGTAGCTCGGTGGCTGATCACTTGGCTTGTACGTGTGAGGCCCTGGATTTTATATCATATATATACATATATACCATATGGTATGAACGGCATACGCATGTACATATACGATAGATTATACTATTGAATACTATGTTTCTGTACCATAACCTGGGCTTTATTCACCCATCACTGATTTCTTTGTGTGTGTGTGTGTGTGTGTGTGTGTGTGTGTGTGTGTGTGTGAGTTTCTTGGGCCACACCCAGCAACGCTCACGAGTTACTCCTGGTGGTGCTTGACACACCATGTGGGATGCCGGGGATTGAACCTGGTCAACTGCAGTGCAAGACAAATGCTCTCCCGGCTCTACTATCTCTCTGGCCAGAATTTTGCATTTGAAATATGCTGCTGCCTCATTAAGCAGCAAAATGCAGCCCAGCCCAGCCCAGAAGGCAGAGGCTTCCCGACACTGGGCCTTTGGGTGTGCTTGGGAGTTATTCGTATGGGGGGGGGGGGGGCGGGCCTTAAAGAGGCATCTCCCCTGTGGGTTCTGTGTTTATGGGACGGTTCGACTCTGGTGCCTAGAACAGTGCCTGGCTCCAAGGGGTCTCAGGAATTGCTTTGTGAATGATCATTGTTAGTACCCATTAGTCAGTTACTGCAGACTGGGGCTGGGCACTGTGGGGTGCTTTCCACTGGTGAGACAACCCCCCCCCCCCCCCCCGCTTGGTGACTGCAGAAAGCCCTCGTGAGGCTCACTGGCCCCTTCCAGAGCTAGGCTGAGTAACTCACCCAGGTTTTCACCAGGTATATGGGGCAGAGCAGGCTTTCAGGGTGAGCCTGTGATTCTGCCAACAGCCCCTGGGATCTTGTTAGAAATGCTAATGATTTTTCCTCCCACCCCAAACCCTTAGAATCTGAAACTCTGGGGGTGGGGCCCAGCCATCTGCTCCTGGCAAACAAGCCCTCCAGGGGCCTGTGGTCCTCTGGGCTGAGAAATCGGCCCTCCTCCCTGGCGGTTCTTGCATGGCACTCCCCGGGACTTTACTTTCTAAGAAACGTTCAAATGTTCTGGAAAGGCAAAGGTGCCCTCTAAAATGCCCTTTGGGTGACTGTGCTTCGGGGCTCTGGTTCGGCTCTGGCTGGACTGAGAAGCTGAAGGGAGAATCCTTCAGCCAGTGACAAAATAGCTCTTGGCAAAGAGCTGTTGGGACCTCGGTTTTCAGCCCCTTGTAAAATGGGCAGCTTTGGGCGGCTGAGATGAGAGAGAGGGGCGACAGTAAAAGTATCCAAAGGGGCTGAAACGATAGTACAGTGGGGAGGGTGTTTGCTTTGCATGAGGCCGGGTTCGATCCCCAGCGTCCCATATGGTCCCCTGAGCACTGCCAGGAGTGATTCCTGAGTGCAGAGCCAGGAGTAAGCCCTGTGCATTGCTGGGTATGACCCAAAAGCCAATACACACATATGTAGGTAGATAGATATCCGAAGACTTTATTATTATTATTTTTAACATTTTTAATTCCAGTGTCAGAAATTCAGTCAGATCAATTAAGTTTTGCCTCTGGAGAGAAACCTAATTGTGGCATTTTGAAAAGCTGCGCAGGTGATTCTAACTTTCGGCCCAAGCTGAACTGCAATGTCAGACTGCACCAGCCACGGCTACCCAAGGCCCCTCATTGGCTTAAAGGGTGAAGATGTGACCCCTTTCTGGTCAGGGGGACACGGAAGGGAAAGAAGCTGGTATCTCTGGGAAACTTCTCATTACTCTGCTGAGCCTTTGGTCTTTACCTCACCCTCCTGGTACCACAATTTTGTGGCTTTGGGGCTGGAGAATTAATTCAGGTGGGCGGAATACTTTGCATGCCAGGCACGACCCCAGAGCACCCAGCCTGGAGTAGCCTGTGAGCGCCCTTTGATGTGGCCTCCAAACCGAAAGAATAAAGTAAAAATAATTCTACTGGTTTTCAGAGAAAGAGAAATAATAACTAAAGTTTCCAGGTTGTGTGTTTACAAGTAGCCTGGAAGTTAATATGTAAAGGAAGAAATGTGAGTTGAAACTTTGCTGTGTCTTCGGGGGCAGAGCTGGTCACGGAAGACGGAAGTGGATGTAGCTGAAGTATCTGGAGCTTGTATTTTCTCCCGTAAGAAGGGGGAGAATAGGGGAAAGGGGCAAAAGATGTGTCATGGAGGTGGAACCAGGGTCAAAGTAGCTCCAGGGCACCAGGCCAGTAAGGGGCAGCTGTTTCCCCCACACACCACGCACCCCTCTCCCCATTTCTCCTGGCAGAAAGAACTCCCAGTGATGGGCGCCCGCTTGGAAGCCTGAGGAGACAGGTGCAGTTGGCCAGGCCTGGCGGTGCGCCAGGCAGAGCTGGTCCCGGCTTGCCCTCAGGAAGGATCTCCACCTGCACCCAGGCTGGTGAATGGGGGAGTCCCTGTGCGTGAGAAAGGGTCAGCTCCGACCCCCAAACATCCCAGGTATCAGCAGTTTCAGTATCCTTTTGCAAGCTGTTCCCACACCTGATTTTTCCAAGAGCAGTCAAAATTTGGGATTTTACGTGACATTCCAGTGCATTTAAAGTTGGCAAATAATCGTTCTGGGTTGTTTTGGTGGTGATGCTAAGGATTAAACCCTGGCCTTACACATGCAAGGTGAGGGATGTACCACTGAGCTACAGCCCTGGCAAACAGTTTATGTGAAAAACAGAGGCTGGAGAGATTCTTGCCTTGCACATGGCTGACTGGGGTTTGATTCCTAGCTCCCCACGTGATTCCCTGAGCATGCCCTGAGCACA